ACTTTACATGTGATGGTATCGAAAATTCAGAAGTTTAGTTTTGGTTTCGTTCTTCACACTGACGAATCATGGAATCTACCACCTTGAGCATTTCGATGCTTGCCTGTTCAGCTCTCTCAGCCTCTGTAGCTCAGCATCAGCCCTCCGGAGCTTGTCAGATGTATCCGCCCAAGCGATTCGAATGGTCGCTCGGCCTCGATGAGTAGTGGTATGGAAGGGGCCGGAAGACCTCCATTATCTTGTTTGTAGCTGCTGAGTCTATCTTGAAGGGATTGCACTGAAATGAAAATAAGAAAAATGATAGACATAGTAGTATACCAGATACTCACATCTGGAGTGTTCGAATGACCCTATTGGCCGGAACTCACGAACCATCGCACGCAAATCTTCATTTGTGACCTCCGGATGTACTGGATCACATTCGGCTGGTCTCTCATTCGCTTGCGAGATAAATTAAGTTTCGATCGAAAAATGTGTAGAATTTACTTACATGACAATGAAACTTCAGATGCGACCGGAGACTCACACCGTGCATAGACAGAGCCCAGCTCATCATCACAATCAATCAGATCCTCATCAGGCCCAAGGTACAAGTCCGGGTTGATGTACTGAACCGGTTGATCGTATTGAGCCGGAGGTAATTGATCTGTACGAGTTTAGTGAGCATGCATGGTAATATCCAAGTGATAAATGTACCGGGGATTGCAGCCAACACGCCTGGACCACTGGAAGACACGGAATCATCTTCTATGTCATCATCCGGCCCAAGGTATAAATCATCTATGGCATGTAAGATAAAAACATAGATAAGGCATAGTACAAATAGATCTTACCTGTTGATGTCCCGGACTGTGTTGAATCATCTATGTCCATTGAATAATACTCGGTCACCGGAGGATCATTAAATCTGACTGTTGGATGTGAATTCATCTTGTGAGGGACGGAAGTACCGATAATTGATTGTATACTTGAAGTTCAACTGAAGTCCGGCAACTTCCGAAAGTTGAACCATTGCCAAACAAAGCCAAACAAATCAACAAAGTTTTACATGGCCGTTCAACTGCCTGTTTTTCCTCTGAAACTTCATCAATTTCACATCTGATTCAAAGATTTACACATCTTTCTCATCATTCAACATGTCCACTGCAGCTGAAACCTCTTTTGCCGAACTTAAGGCAATCACTAGGCAGATTGTTGACATTGTCCACGCGGCTCGGCTCCTCCCACCCAGCAACAGCCACTTGGCTCTGAAAGCACAAGTCACTGAACTGGTGGTATGTTGTTTTTCCTTTTTTTCTTTTCATTTTCTCTAATGACAGGGCAGGCTAAGGCCGTCCGGGACCATGAGGCTTCACCTTGCATTCCAGGCATAGTCTTGTCCTGCTCCAAGGAGTTACTTCGCGTTCGGCAGTTGTCCCCCCAGGATTCGCCCAACTGGCACAGCATCGGCCATAACGATCTTCGCCTCCAGAGGCACAGCTGGCGCCACAAGGTCTCCGCATGGGAGGCTTTAGGCGACTGGACATTCGATCTTCCGGTCGATGCTCCCAAATCCACTGACACTGTTGCGGTCGACCTTCTGTCACAAATCCCAAATACGAACCATTTTTCATTTCTCGGTTTTCCTTCGGCTACTTCCAGTACCCGAGCCGGTCACGTGACTCCTCATCATAGGTCACCCGTTGCTTCTCCGATTGGCTCCCCTACTCCATGGGCTAGAACAATCTCGCTTCCTAAAGAAGAACTGGTCGGATCCTGGGTTTCTATTTAGTAACTGTCTTACTCAGTCGCTTATATATCATGATGTCATACTTACTCATCCGCAGTATTGTACGACTCTTTTCTCATTGGCTGATTTATTTCATACCCAGATATCTCCGATTCAATGTTATGTATAAGAGTAGGGTAGTCAGTGTAAGAGCTCCTTAGACTTAACCTCTTCGTTTCTACTGTTGTAGTGACCTAGACGTTCACGCTCAATCCTATTCTGTTGCTCATCGTCATCTCTGACCGAGTCCTAGTGGTTGTGCACTCACCTTCAACATTATTGTTGGACGTCGGTCATAACACCTTCCCTCCCCACCTGCCGTCGCTGGCAGCATTGCCGGCCCATTGTCCAGCACTATCGACGAGTCCCGGGAGAAGTGTGAGGATAAGGGTAAGGGTAAGGCGTTAGATGCTGACCCGGAACCTGAGGCAGATGGGAGTAGGAAGAGGAAATCGCCCCTGATTTCGGGACCCTCCCAACCGCCGAAATCCACGATGAAGAGTCGCAAGAGGGCAAAGTCAGCTCGGGTTGTGAAGTCAGCCGAGTTTGTGGAGTCCGAGGATGAACCTGTGGACAAGGTATGTCATTCTGTTTGTTGTTTTCGTTGTCACTCATTATTTTGCAGCCGGCTGCCCAAGGAGGGCCGGTCGTCTTACTTCATTGTCTCACCTCAGTCTCACCCCGCATCCCCAAGAAGAGACCTTTTGGCCCTGCGAAGGTATGTCTAATTTATGCCCGTATCACTCCTGGCCATCTGTAACGTCGTCAGGTAATTGCCGGAAGGCGTGCAGATGTCGCCGGGCAGACCGACTCGACATCCAACACCCCTGTGGTCACCCCGGTGGTGGCACCAACTGTCATTGATGGCCCTGCTGGAAGCCCTCCGGAGGTCGTCGAGCACTCGGACTCGGCGTCCAATACCCCCACGGTCACCCCGGACGTGGCGCCAACTGTCATCGATACAGATGACATTCTCATTCCTGGACCAGTGAGTACTTTGAAAATTGATTGGGCGTCCTTCAACTAACTGAACAAACAGAACAACCCATGCTGGGCTTGCAACAATGCGGAGTTGCCCTGCACGACCCGGTTTGACAAGAGGACTGGGAAAGGCCTTCTCTCCTGTGTTGTCTGCAACACAAAGAAGGTAAAGTGTTTTTCCGTCACCCTTGGAAGTCCACCGAAATGGTCGCGGGGTAAGTTGACCACCCGGAAGGCCAGGTCCCAGACACCTTCCAAAGCTCCATCCACCTCCCAACCAAAGGCCCAGACCCGCAGCCAATCTTGTGGTGTAGCCGGAGCTACTGGTGCCAGTGCTGCCGGAACTGCCAGTGGGTCTGCTGCGACCGTGCCTAAGACGTGCGGTCGCAGCAAGACAATAACTGCTGTCAAGGCACCCGCCCCACCACCTACACCCTCACCTGCACCAGCTCATAAGTCTTTCGAATTTCTCATCATCATCTTATCTTATTGCTTTGTAGCAATTGCATCTTTGAGTGCCCACGTGCCTCGTGCAGCTCTCGATGTCCCTATGCCAGACCTCCATTCCATGGCAAGAAGTATTCGCGATAGTGCCGAACACATCAAGGCTCTCGAGGATCTTGTTGCCAAGCAGGGCAGCCATATTGATACCCTCAGCAGGCTCCATGAGAGCCTTCGATGCCAAACCATGGAACCCCATCCCTCATTTCCCCTTCCCACCACTCCAGCAATTGCAACGTCTTTGTTGCTTGATCAATCCGTCACTGGAACAACGTCACCCTCCCAATCCGCACTCCCTCCTCTCATTGATATTTCGATTGCAGTGGAGCCCACACCCTCGAAAATTGAGGATTGCTCTGCCATTGAGGGTCTTTCATTTGAGCCGAGCCAAGTTCAACCAGCCCCGGACCCATCACCTACTCCCTCAACTGCTGGAGCAATTTTGGTGCCGGATGATCCATGCAACCTTGTCCCAGAATACGATTCTGGTGATGAGATGGATGTTGAGGTGAAGGTTGAAGTTGAAGGTGGTGATGAGGGTCATCTGGTCAAGGTTGAAGGTGGTGATGAGGGTCATCTGGTCAAGGTTGAAGGTGAAGGTGATGATGAGGGTCATCTGGGCGAGGTTGAAATGTCTACATAATTTGGTAGTTAGATTTCTGTAAATGTTCTTGAAATGCATTGTACCTCTGCTATACTCAAAGAATGAAATCGAGTTCTGGGTAACTAATACTGACGTCCAGGTAACTCACGCCGACGTCCGGGTAACTGATATTGACATCCGGGTAACATCCATCGACATCCGGGCAACTGGTATTGAGTTCCGGGCATCGAGCACCAAGTTCCGGGTAGCTAATACCGACATCCGGGTAACTGATATGGAGTTCTGGGGATGTCTTAAATTGGACAAATGACTGAGTACCGAGTTCCAGGCATCGAGTTCCGAGGTCCGGGCATCGAGTTCCGAGTACCAAGTTCCAGGGTCCGGGCATCGAGTTCCGAGTTCCGGGCACCGAGTTCCGGGCATCGAGCACCGAAATACAACTCGGTGCCCGGAACTCAGAACTCAATGCCCGGACCCTGGAACTTGGTACTCGGAACTCAATGCCCGGACCTCGGAACTCAATGCCTGGAACTCGGTACTCGGTCATTTGTCCAATTTAAGACATCCCCGGAACTCCATATCAGTTACCTGGATGTCGGTATTAGCTACCCAGAACTTGGTGCTCGATGCCCGGAACTCAATACCAGTTGCCCCGACATCAGGATTAGTTACCCGGAACTTGGTACTTGGTATTAGGTACTTGATGATTTGTCTAATTTACGAAATGTTGTATTCAGGCTTTCGTGTGTCTCATTTCAGTGGTCGATGATAGGTGTATGCACTCATACAGTGGGTATGTACTGGTGCCTACATCAGCACACTGATTAGTATGTTATCCAACTATCTCAGCCCACTGATGTTTATAACACTCATTCTTCTGGGCCCACCCGTCTATATGATATCAACCATCTCGGCCCACCCATCTATATAATATACTACTACCTCAGCCCATACATTTATATAATATACTACCACCTCGGCTCATACATCTATATGATACGTATCTGGGCCCACCCGTATATGTGATATCCAACTACCTCGGCCCACCCGTCTATATAATATCTAATAAATCGCTCTCTTGGCCCACCCGTTTATATGATAACAATTACCTTGGCCCACCCGTCTACATGATATACCCCTAAGTCGGCCCACCTGTCTACACAATATACTACTACCTCGGCCCACCTGTCTATGTAATATACCCTATGCCGGCCCACCCGTCTATATAATATACTACTACCTCGGCCCACCCGTCTATATCATATATAATAAACTGCTCCTCCGGCCCACCCATCTATATAATATACTACTACCTCGGCCCACCAGTCTATGTAATATACCCTACGTTGGCCCACCCGTCTATATCATATATAATAAACTGCTCCTCCGGCCCACCCGTTTATATAATAATACCACTACATTGGCCCACCCGTCTATATAATATACATCTCTCTTCAGCCCACCTGTCTATAATATACATGTCCATCCTACTCTACATATTACCTAGATGAGCCCACCCATATTCATCGGTAATAATATCCCTCCCGGCCCATTCGTTAACATCAAGGATATCTTCATCATCAGCCCATGGTCCACTGGCCCGTGTTATACGGGATATTATGCACATCAGTTGCCTCATATAATACGGAGTTTGTCACTGAAGGGGCTCCATGTGTTCAGTCAACTGGGGCACTCTAGAGATTGCGACCCCTGCTAGGACCTGGCACAATACAATGCTTAGCACCATGTGGGTCTTGAAAGTTGTATAATGTTACTCTACCGTATATATGTATTAACAAATACCAATGCTACATTTGTGACTTCCTGTAAAGTTTTACAGACGAATTTCTGTTAATCCTCATGTCTTAGCCGAATAGCCGCGCTGGATTTGGAAGGTAGCTGTCAACCCGTTGCTCTCGCACCTGTCTGTAAATTTGCAAATCTGTGGAGGGGTAGGTACCCCTCTGTAAATTGTCATAATGCACGAAATGTCTGATTCAGATAAATTTCTTACTCTTTTTAGATGGTTTGCTCACAGAATTGTTGTCTGGATCATTGGTATTGTTCCCAGTCCATCGTCTTGCAGAGTTCTTACAGTTTACAGATTCTGTCCGTAAATTAGCCGATGTCGAGCAGTCAAACTTTTACAGACAAGCTTGTTTCTGTAAATTCTTACGGGAAGTCACCCAAATGATCCCCAACACCCACTTTAGTGGGAGAAAGTTCGTCCAGGTACCTGTACGCTGAATCGCAGGAAAACCTTATGTCAGCAAGTTTCTAGACAATTCTTTACAATTATGTAAACTATTTTCGGGTTATGGCACAACTTTACATAATTAGCTCTGACTGGCACTGACAGACATATAATATCATCTGAATCTTGGAATGATGATGTTCCCGGATTCCAATGAGTCTCTCTCGACTTCTCTTTGGCTCCTTACAACATTCAAATTTGCAGTTCAGACTGTCTCCCGACCCTGTGTGAGAGGCCAGGCTTTCCACACGGGGTCATCTTTGAACAGCCATCTGGAATTCCGAGTCACGGTCATCTAATACCAACCCAACCACTCCATAGTCGTCACAGTCAGCCTGCTCATTCATCTCCCTGTTCATATTAAGGTACTGGAGACAGGCCGTTTGAATCGTCGGAACAACACGAAGTGGGAGGGTGGGCTCAATATTGCGCACAAATTCTCTGTCCGAGATCACATCGGACGAATGTACATCAAGCCTCTCATACCATATCATTGAGACTCGGTCTGACACTCTATGACTCGGAAACCACAAATCTCATGCATAGGTTTACATCTTAAATTCACTCTATTTCATTGATAAGAAAATTGCTCGAATCAGACATTTCGTGCACAACGATTTACAGAGGGGTACTTACCTACCCCTCCACTGATTGGCAAATTTACAGACAGGTGCGAGAGAGCAATGGTTTGACAGGCGTTGACAGCTACCTTCCAAATCAAGCTCGGCTATTTGGCTAAGGCATGAGGAATAATTCTGCTGCAACACCTACTAGTATGAAGCCTGTTCCAGCTTCATGACCAGCTTTACAGGTAAGTCGTGACAATGTATTTCAAGATATGAGTCTCACAGAGATTTTTGTTAGTTTCTTAGCATGTTCAACAATACTACTAATAGCACACGAGACGCTGCCAGTGACACACCACCAGAGTCTCCTCCATCCTCCGGCAAATCTCAGACTGCCTCACTGTCCTCTGATTCTGTCCCACTACCAGGCTCCTCGACACTCACATTTCTTGTGGCAGCACTGAGCAATGCATTGCTTGAGGGTGCACCTCCAGGCATTTCACCATCCACTCAGGCTGCTACATCTACAGGAGAAGTTCCTGTCCAGTCTGGCAAGAAAAACAGAGGTCCAACAAACCCAAACAACCTTTTCAAGCCGAGTTCGGGATCGACAACAGCACGCAACCTCTGTGGTATCGAATGGCAAGCCCAACGCAAGATGGGCACTGTCGCAGAGTTCACAACACACTGGAATAGCCTCACTCCCCAACAGAGAGAGCCCTACGTCACTCGCTCAAAGCTTGCCAACACTGTAAGTCTTTCTTTCTTCGGTGATATCATAATCTTATTCGACTGTAGACCAATCTACTAGTGTCAAGCATAAGCCTTGCCTCCGATGACTCCGCCCTCAATGCAGGCAACAGCATAAGTCACGTGAGGCAGGTGGATCATTGATCATCTGGATTCCACATCCACAGGCATTGTTCACTTGCAATTGCCGAGCAAGATTCGTGATGTTTGTGGATCATAGTTGTATATCCACAAGTATTGATCACTGACAATCGCCAAACAAGATATATATATGGACTGCAAGCCTTTCCCTCTCACTTTAGTTTACCTTTCGCATCTACACAGACTCTTGGAATGACAATGTTCCTATACTTTCAGTCACTCATTGCCCATTCATTTCTTCGTTCTCCCCCCACGTTAGCCTTGTCGATAACCTTGGAACGACAATGTTCCTCTCTAGGGAGCGATTGGGGGATTTCAGGGCCCGGAGGCTGGCGCTTTTCTTCGGAGATGTGCACTAAGCTTCTGGCAACTCGAGCGAATTATTACATGCTTGTTGGCGCAATCATTTCAGCTTACAAGCCTTGGTACATTATCCCCGCAGAGTTGAGGTTGGATTGGATAGACAACTCATTCCCGTCCGAAGAGGTGTTAGCCACACAAGTTGGTGACGCGCGCCGACACATACTGGACCAATACGGGTTCATAGCCTACAACTTGCATCAAGACCCGCGTTGGCGCACACACCCTGGCTTGCTGGTGCATGTACTCAGGGTGACCAACACTGGCCTCGATTCCTGTTGGCACATCGGATGCATCGTGGATTTCAAGAGGATGGATTTTTTCATTTTGGAATTGTATGATCTCATCTCTCATGACGTTCCTGTACACTACCAGTGGTTCCCCGCCAATGCTGGACCTTTTGACCCACGAGCACTTAGGGCCAATGACTATGACTTCATTCAGAACATAAGGCGGACTCAAGTCAAATGGCAGTGGTCTACAGCGGCGCAAAGCGCCAACTCCATGGATCCTCCAGCTGTCCCTCCACCTGCACAAAAGAAGGCGAAGTACTTCAAAGCTAGCGGGAGGTTCAAGACCAACACATGGGAAGAAATCTCGAAAAACGCATACAAGGAGCTGTCAAATTGGTGTGTGGCGGAACATGTGAAGCTACCGACGAGAGATGTATTCGTCGCCTACGAGTATGAAGGAGCAGATGAGGAATACATTGTGCCTGTGGGATCTGTCATCAGCGCAAAGGAGATGGCTGCCTATGTGCTTGGGATAGCAGCTCAACTGAATGTAATTTTCTCGACCCCACATCTAAGAATCTCGAAACTGATGAACTGTGAAGCCCATTTCTGCTGTCATCAACACAAAGGAGATGGCTGCCCATGCGCTTAAGCTGGCAGCTCAACCAACAGTGAGTTCCTCCACTCCCACAGTTGAGAACATCAAAATTGATGAACATGTGAAGATGGTTTCTGCCCCATCAGCAACAATGCTAGCCCTGACGACAGGGGAGTCCTCTTCTTCAGTGCAGAGCAGACTCGGGCCTGCCAAAAGGATTCTCCTGCAGCAGCAACGCCTACTGCAGAGCCCTCCACTTTGGAGCACAGCAAACCTGCGCCCGTCACAAAGGGTTCACTCGCAGTAGCAGCATCGATTGCAGTGACTGCCACAGAATCATTGATTTCTGAGAAGCACAGTCGAAGCCAATGTTCAGTGACTCCGCGTGCAATGGTGCCTAACATCGTCATTCGTGTGCGGTCAAGATCCGCTGGGGCCGAATCCGCTATCTCCCTAGGAGAAGAAGACAATGTCCCCTTTTTGTTTGGCTCTCATGTAGCTCCTTGGGCGCCTGATTATACTCCTGTTTCACCCCGCTCCCCATCACCGTCACTTGCAGTTATGGTTCCACTGCCGGCACCGTCGTCTTTGTGCCTCCCACCCCCACATTGTCAGAAATGCCTGGCGTTCCTTGATGATTATTCCTCCAGCTCGAGGAAGCGCATGATCTCGTTTGTATCATCTCCATCTGGAGCTGGAGAGAATAAGAGACCACAGATGGCGGCGCCCCCTATGTCCTCATGCCTGACCCTGATGCAGAGGCTTCACAACGTCGTCGCGACTTTCCCTGCAGCCTCACCCCTTGCGCCTGAGCCCTCTCCACTTCAACAGCTCCCACCGGCACAAGTTCAAATCCTCCTGGTTTGAGCAGAAGTGGGGCTACCACTTATTGCAGAATCTTACCAGGCCAATGAGCTGCAGATCAATGGGCCAGTGTTCATGACGGGAATCACCTTCCCTGCAGCTCCAGTGCTGCGTTTGGGGTGTTTGACTATGACGTTCCGATCTGCCATCCGGGTCGTCTACGATCAGCTTCTCAGCCCAAATGTGTCTCCAGCAGACTCTTTACAAACTCTGCTAAGATCTGGGGCACCGTTCCGAGTCTTTGCACCGTTACCCAACACGGCGCCCCAACAGCTGGCAGTCGTGCCATTGTATCTATTGAGGAGGAATGTGTTTCAAGGATTTGATCTAATAAATCCGGGATACTGGAACATATACACATCCCAGGTTAGGTAACTTCTCCGTCGCCCATTCGCTCGCCATTTCCTCATGCTTGGAGGGATCCTGTGGCGCATTGCCTTGCAATTTGGCCCTAATACGCTAGTCCAAGAAGCGTTGGCAGGTCCCTCCTCAGCTGTCACACTATGGGGAAGCGGTGAATCAGTCGGCAATCTTTGGGACAACTTCGTAACCCCCGAGGAAATAAACACTTTGCTAGGTCGTAGTCATTCAGGCTCGGAGAGTTGCTGGCCTCCCAACGACCTGTGGGATTCTTCCAAGAAGTGGAAAGGGTTTTGGTCGGATGCTGATGAAGCATGGTTCCAGTTACATCTGGTGAACTTGTCGTCCAGGAACCTTCAAGCACACAAATCCCAGAGAACTTGGAAAACTTCCTTTCGACCAGCAAAGTCAGACGCGCCTTCGGAAATCTACATGCAAGAGTTGTTCAAAAAATTAGGATACAATAATGTTCGCGCCCCAACTTGGGACCTATAATCAGTAGAATACGAATTACCTGAGAGGGGGGGGGAAACTTTGTGACGGTCATGATTTAGGCCAGCGCCTACTACATACATCATTGTACTTACTATTACTCTTGCATACTATCATTTGTTTATGTACGCTAGAAAATCCATATCGCATCTTGTATTTCATACAAAATATTCTCAGTGATGGTATCCCAAGATACGAGACAGGAAATGGCGAACAACAAGTTGATTGCAAGATGTGCATCATGATCGACCATAATACCAAAGTGTCTCTCCAAGTGATTGTGTCTCAGGGCGGCAGGCCATAGTTAAAGTCTTTCAGTTCTTTCTAGTCATATGAGTCTCCGCAGCATGAGTGAAGCCAGGCATTACTATGTCTGTATTTGCCCGCGCACATGAAAATCTCAAATTTTTAGCCTACAATTTGCCCCTCACCGTGCCTGAATTTCAGTAGAGGTTAAAACATATTTTATCAGAGTTTGTATTAGTCATACTACATAACAAATAATCTAAACAAGTTGTGATTCGCTTGATTATATAATGTCATATTCATCAATTGTCGCTACCATTTGGATATCTCTTGTGGATCTCTTGTCCACTGCTTGCTTTTGACTTGCTTGGATTAATCTTGGGACGACAATGTTCCTGGATTCTAAACCAGCTTTTCAAGATCTCATCCATGACTCTGTTGGATTCTTGGAACGACAACATTCCTGGATACCCAAGTAGCTTCTCTCTTGATTTCTCTTTCAATTTCGCTCCTCGAACCTCCTCGGACACGGAACATCGATGTTAACCTGGGGTTCCAACCAATGTGGATTCTAAACCAACTCCTCTGCAACTGACTTGGATTCTTGGAATGATGACATTCCTGGATTCTTAAGTAGCTTCTCTCTTGGCTTGCTCTTTGGCTTCTCGCATCACCTGTATCATAATCACATTTTTATTCGACTCAGTCTCCCGACCTCGTGCGAGAGGCCTGGCTTTCCGCACGAGGTCCTCTATTGTCTTCAAACAGCCGTCTGGGCTCTAGGCATTCTGAGTCTTTGAGCACAAACTCAATCTGCACTCCACGGCCGTCACAGAGGTGTTAGTACTAACATATTGCGGATCTCGCGTGTAGTCCCTTCTGACTTTCTATCGTACTGACAGGACCATACCAGTTTGAAGCAGTCTAAGGATGGCTTTGGTTGCGAACATTGCTGCTAGATCACTTATGATAGGTCGAAGGCCTTCTCGTCAGCACGCTTCCCTTTTGCTGAAACCTCCGGAATGCCAGGCATTCCTTGGATGCTCTACAGACATCACCTCAAATCCAATGCACCTTCTAGCATCAACTTTTTGCACCTCCCTCTTGTTTCTTGACTGTTCACTTGCAGTCCCCACGAGAAAACTACCCTCATGTCATTTCCTTTGCTTCAGCAAAATGACTCTTTCCTGTCATGTGATGTTTAGGTGACGCGGCAATCCCCGATCCAGTAGGCATCCTTCTCCACACTTGCTCCTCTTCCTTCAATCCTTCCGTCATCTAAACAGACACTTGGAACGATGATGTTCCTGGAATCTTCGTGGTTTCTTGTTGAGAACCTTGGAACAATGACATTCCTGGGCTTTCAGTCAATTTCGCCGATGACAAAGTGTCCCATACATCATTCAAATTCATCTCTCCAGCTATTCCAGCAATTGGTGTCAGCATGTCTACCACCACCGTCCACTGCCCTTCCTGCAAGAGAACCTTCAAGACTCGCTCCCCCAGAACGATATCAAAATGAGATATTATTGTAAGCTGAGCGACCAGGATGACGATCATCTTGGAAATCAGGATGGCGGTGATGTGGATGAAGCTGAGTTAGGTGAAATCAAAGATTTGCAACACAAGGCTGGATCACCATCCCGCACTTCTGCAGGCCTGCCCCATCAAGCCATGCACAATGACTGTGGAGACCCCATACTCGTAGTTGAGAGACATCCAGAAGCAGGTCGGGTCTTGCAGTGTGATGATGCTACTCATGCTACATATATGCGGACCTGCCATGACCTTTAGAGCGAGGATAATCAGTATCACCCTTTTCTCGATGAAGGTGACTACAAGGTAGCTCGGTGGGCAATTGAGCAAGGGCCAAATCAAAACGCCCTCACAGATTTTTTGTCCATTGACGAGGTAAGTGCGCTGCAGTTGCATTGATGTTAGATTCTTACATCACTGCTAGGTGAACAGTAAACTTGGACTATCCTATGAGAATGCTCGTGCTCTTCACCAAAAAATTGATCACAAACTCCCTGGTGTTACTCCGTGGCGACGCAGTGTTATTCAGATATCAGGCATCAACGAAGAATTCAAATTATTCATGCGAGATCCTGTCAAATCTATCAAAGAACTGTGGGCTAACCCCGCCTATCTTGAGCACCTTACCTATGCGCCCGAACACCGCTTTGCAGATGAAGGGAAATCTGAATGCATTTATGATGAGTTCGTTCATGAGTGGTGATTGGGCATGGGAAACACAGGTTTGTGATTTGGTCATCTTCTTTGGCAATGTGCTGAATGACATTTAGACACTTCTTCCAGATGGCACTATGCTTGTTCCTGTCATTCTCAGCTCTGACAAGACCCAGCTTTGCCAATTTTGAGGTGACAAAACCGCATACCCGGTCTACCTCACTATTGGCAATATCTCAAAGTCTATTCATTGCAAGCCATCCTTTCATGCCCAGAAGCTTATTGGGTACCTTCCGACTGTTTCTCTAGATGGGAATTATCTTTCAACAGACAATGCCTGTCTTATTCATACACAGCTATTCCACTATGCGATGGGAGTTATTACCAGCACACTGCATATTTTATCTCCTACAGATGGGATCAAGCTCACAAGCGGAGATGGGGTAGTGCGCCTCAGGTTTCCGAAGATGGGTGTCACCAGACAAATTGGACATCTTGTCTATGTCGAATGGTTTTCACGACCTCGAAACAAAGATCCAAATTCTGGGATGTATCTCATCTCCCAAAGTTACCGAAATGGTGTCCGAGATACCTCAATTATCAAGGTAAATTCTATGTTTCGAACATGCCGGTTGGTACCCAGGTGAGCTTACTGAATGTGTGGTGGTTGCTAAGCCTCGGGTAGAATTCTACTGCACCTGGCGCTGCAATGAGGAATGTTTTTTTCTTAGGATAGCAGCAGACATGGTAGTTTTTGGAGGTTTTTCAGACTTTTACTGACCACCTTGTGGCATGCATCCTGCCTACAGAAAGGGGTCTCGCCAGACATAGATGAGCAGTACTATGGGGTTGAAGGGGACTGTAACAGTTGTGTATCAGATATATAGCTGCATCTGTTATGTATGTAGTACATGTATACCTTATAATGCACTCACTATATACCACTTTGTAGGTGATAATAATATCACTGTTGTACTTCTATAGTGGCCAGTGGTAAATGTCATAGTCTTTTTATAGTTGTAAACTAATGGTATGGATCAATCTATAGCTGACAGCTAAAGTACTCATAATGCACAGGGAAATGTAATGCACCATTCTGATGGCTACTAGTGACTGATATATAGACACCTATAACATGTGATGGTAGCACTGATAACACTTTCACAATGATGAGTAAAAGTTGATGATGGATAGCCAACTGTAGGTACAAACTTTGTAGTGCTATAGTGCACCGTGGTCATGACTATGGTAACTATGTAAATATGAGTGGGTGCTATGGTGTGACAATAAAAGGGGGGGTTGTTATGAGGCTATGACAGCTATATATGATATACAATGCACTATAGAAACCCTAATTTTTTCAGATGTAGTGTGTTTAATTGAATAATCCAAATTGCTGTCAGATTTTGTTTCCATTGAGGTCTTGAGCTGTAGATGCACTACCCAAGCTCAAGTCCTTGTTTTTCATGGCTTATTCCCAATGGCTCCCTCACAGCCTTGCATGGCAGTGTCTGTCAAGTTACTTGCCTTTTATTGAACCCTTTTTGAACACTCTTGTGATGCTGTCAATGTGCTTGCCTCTGCACTACACACCCACTATGTACAACAATTCCACATCACAAAATCAAAGGTAAGGATCCTGTCTAAGCCGCATATCAACTACTCATCTTAATGTTGTAGGGCATTGTTATCCAAGAGCCCTTCTGACAAAGCCTTGGTCAAGCCATTCAATGGTTTGACCTTCTACAAGTAGAAGTCGAATGTTGGCTCAAAGATGCTCTATCAGCATGTCAGGATTATGTAGAGGCTGAATACTGGGAGTCTCAGAACACTTCAACCTCTGAGGCCACTGCACCAGAATGGCTCATTCCTCGTGAGAATTGTGCCTCCATCCTTATACAATGATGTCCTGTATGCTTTGGGGGGGCAGCATTTGGTTAGGACCTGAATGAAGGAGGTGATGTCCATGTCACAACTGATGGAAACTTTCATCACTGGCATCGACGATCAGCTGGTGATTCACCACACTTCTATGACACCTCGTATTTTCTTCCAAAAGTGCAAGTCAACACTATCAGCCATCATATCCTTCAAAGTCGCAAATCTCCACCTAAACCACACAAGTCCTCAGTACCCCACGAGGCAATTGATCAATGTGAGAATTCTTACGAAGTTGCTGATGGCAAGAAGCAGAAGTCTTTGATGGACAGCTTTGATGATACCGGTGTTATGGCTCTTATATGCCGTCATGACATTCCTCTTTTCTTTGCCAACATAGACACCCCTGGCGAGCAGCAGAAGTATGCTGTCACCTTGATTGACCATCTCTTTACCCTATTACTGTTAGAGACCGTGCTCGGATGGAGAAGTGGAGGGGTCGGGGCTTGGCTTCAGCTCTTGTGCTGTGCCCTTAGCCAAGTATGTGCCCTGAATTTGGAGCAGGTCTGATGATGTCCAATGATAGGATGTGCAGACCACTTTGGTCCGCTTTGTGGGTCGGGAGGTAAATGCTACTAGTGGTAGTCCAACTAGAAGTGGAGTGGGGGAAGTGGAGAAAGTGTGTTGGGATGGAGGGAAGTAAGGGGGTTGGTTTTGGTTGGGTTGGAGAAGTAAGAGTGAGTACTTAGAGCGTGGCTCTAAGTTGGAGCGAAGGGTCAGAGGTGACAACAAGATAAACTTGTGTCCAGAGAGGGAGCAAAGTCCTATGGAGAATTCCCACTAGTGGAGACTGCAGGAAGACAAGTAATATTAAGACTGGGGAGTAGCTAAGTACAGGATATGTTTTTATATACTTCTATGTAGGAGGCAGTGACTAGTAGTCCTTGGTATGAGGCTATGTAGATAATTCATAAGTAGACACAGGTAAAAAAACATAAGTTGGGGCAGATATCAATATATACATGTCGGATCAGTTAGTTGAGCGGTTATAGAGAGTACTGATGATCCGGGAAGTAAGTGTTATGTGCAAATGGGGAAGGAGTTTACAGTAGAGTGGAAACAATGTGGAAGGTAACCGACAAGGTGGTTGAGCGGAACCATAGGAGCCGATGCGGGAGCTGAATGGTTCAAGTGGAGGGCAGACAGAGTGGAGGTGGTTGGAAAGTGGGGAATGGTATGAGGTCGGGCAGAGCGGATATTAATAACATTGGAGTGGTCGGATCAGGTATATGACAATTACCACCAAGAGCTACTGTTGTCGCACTTTATGATGTCAGGTGCATCTTATCATGATCACTAGATCAGGTGAGTCACTTCACGACTTGGAGATCAGATTCTCATTTATTCTACTAGTATGACATTCTACCACCAACTATCACGAAGCGCTTGCGCTTCACCACAACAGCCATGCATGCCTATGGCCACGAGTAGGCCTGTAAACTCAAGTACAATCCTCGAATGTGCCATGGCCTTGGCCTGTCAGATGGCGAAGGAACCAAACAATTGTGGTTGTCATATCCTGTACCTCCAGATCCAGAATTCCGGATCTCCCACTAAAGTCCGGTCCTCTGTCCTGTTATTTCGCCCAGTGCTCCGCTCTCATCTCCAGACTCACCCCTATCTCCTTTTAGAATAGCTATTGCTCTGGCTACTGGTTATGTCCTTTCCGCTATGCTTACTGATCCATCTGATTGTACTTCATCTCCGACTTCACAGCTTTGATCTGTTATACACTTATTAATAGACTTTCCACATGCTTCATACATAGCCTTTACTTTGCTGACTGATTTACTTACACAATACCTACAGTATATAAACTCCTGTAATACTCTGGAACTTCTCAGTTCAAATATCATCTTAGTTCTGCTCATTACTGCTTCTCTGGACTTGAGTCTCATCTCTTGTCTACCTCTGAGTCTTAGGGTTAAACCTTAGGACTAAATCTCCAACTCTACCTTAGGGTAGTCTAAACTCTGTTCTGTTTCTACTCCGGACTTGTCCATAGTAGCCCTACTCCATTCTCTCATAGTCTTCCAGAGTTCCGCCAAGCTCCCCTGACGTCTGACCTCTGGACTTCCCCTCTGCCCCTCGGAAATTAAGGGCATGTACTCAGGTAAGGGGCACAGTGCATGAGCTGAAGCCGAAGCCCTTTGAGTAACCTCCCCCTTGAGCACGACCTTAACAGTGGTTGAGACTTGTCTGGCTGATAGGAATCCAATGCTCCTCTTCAGTAAGTTCTTTCGATGATCCACCAATGTAATTTACTGACAGCTTGTCCCAGTGTCAGCATAGACTGTGGTTGCTTGATTGACAAGCGGCTGCTATTGGACTTGAAATGCATGCTGATCTGGGAGATTGGATTAAGCATCAGTTTAAATGTAGGGTCGGGGAGCAAGACACAGCAGCACAGAATGTCCTCGAGGAATGTGGGGTGACCACTGATGAGCTCTGCGTTGAATGGACTTCCCAGAGACAATCCCAGTTATCGATTCATGCTTGTATGTACCTTCAACAATCCTCCCAGCCCTCTTGAGCCAAGCATCACTGACTTCTTGATCTAGATGCACCTGCACACCTGAAGAAAGAGTTAGACACTATTCTTGCTCTGTGAGCAGATCTAGATGCCTCAGAAAAGGCACTGCAGGCAACAAGAGAGACAATGACCAAAGCTGATGCCACAAATGACACACTTGAGGTCCTCAACAGCCTTGAACGCAGTCATCAACGTCTCATGGCTAAAGTTGAGGTGTTATATGCATCACTTAATGCCCATGACCAGTTTCCGGAGTTAAAAGGCATGGACCTCAACTTTGTTTGGACACTGCTTTTAGCATGGTGTGGGTACAACAAGTGTAGCAGTGAGAAATTGATCTACTATGAAGTTGGGTCTTTGCTGCCTGCTGCCTCACTTGAGAACAAGCATGTTCGACCCTAAAGGGAATTGCTACTGGGGAGTGCTAGTCTCTGCCTAAACGACCCTAATCAACCCTACTGCAGGTAGGATGAGGATTTGCAAAAATGCGGAACAAGCAGAACTCAAGCAGAATGAAGCAGAATGAAGCAGAATGAAGCAGAACTCAAACAGATAAAATGCGGAACATACAGGTTCATCAGAACTTGTGGATCAAGTTGAAGGAAGTATATCACAAGTTTAGATTGATAGTGAGCATAAGTCAAAGCGGTCCTCTAGTAAGGTGAAGGAAAAGTCAGAGAAAAGTCAAAAGGTAAGAGATGAGATTCGATAAAAAACACCCAAGTCCTGAGTACCACTACTTATAGGGAACATTATTTTCAAGGAACACCAAGGTACAGGTAGTTTTCAGGAAGTGGAAGTGAAGACAGGCAGTGCACATGGGTGCAATACTCCACAATAGGGGTCCATGCCATAAGGGCATGTGTCAATGTGATCCGGATAACATTAGAAGCAATTGGAAGAGAGATACAGCGTACTGGATGCATGGGAATGCAGAACTGATGTGAGATGATGTGGAATCAACAGGGTTTTATGCCTACAGTGGGAGCATTCCCCACAATGGGACAGGATGCATGGGAATGCAGAACTGATGTGAGACAATGTGGAATCAACAGGGTTTTATGCCTACAGTGGGAGCATTCCCCACAATGGGACATTGTCATATACTGGATCTGAGCACCCCCAATACCACCTGTGAACATCCCCACCCCTGTTCCGACTCCCTGTTTCCCTGTCTGCTCCATCCTTCCTTCTCCGACAATGCATGAAGTGCATCTCAGCAGGACTAGCCCTGCTACCCCCGCCCGACTCCATTCCACTCTTCCGACACTACCCCTATGTCCTCCGATACTATACCCCTTCCATACGACCCTATCTGGGGTTCCGCCCCTCTGCCCTATTGGTCTGCCTGATCCTATTCCTACTCCCTCCACTTTTCTGACCCGCTCGGTTCCTTCAGTTCTGCTCATGTTGCCCCACCCAACTATTAGTCCATCCGACCGCCTCACCGGTCCACACCTAGACTAGGAAGAACTCAACTGGTCCTATCCCCATTTAGTATCATAGTTCCACTTTTCGGATCACTGGTAATCCCTATACCCTAGCAATTTTGATCTGTTGCGTACATACTGTTCCCCGAGCCTTATTCTCATATGTCTCAGTCATCCTATTGTAATCCTATACACTTAGCACATAGCCTTCTGCTATGCTATGCTCATTACTTAGAGTATACAAACATATGTACATTTGTCTGTAGATACTCAGTCTGAATATTACCTTTTCTAAGCCCTGCTCTTCTGTTCTTTGACTTGGGCCTGATCCTAGTCAACTCCTGTTAGCTGGCCTAGGGGATTGACTCCCTAGGTCGGCCACCCTCTGATCCTCCAACCCTCCATTCCCCCATTTCCCTGTTCCCCCATTCCCCCATTCCCCTTTTCCTTTGTCCCTCCGCTCTTCCGACTCCCTGTGCATCGGCTGGCTTTCCCACACATCAGAACTGATCCCCACACTCTCACATCCATTCCCTCTGTTCCGCTCTGCTTCGGACTTTGTCCAAGCAGCTCCTTCCGCTTCGCTTCTACTGTTGGTTCCGACCACAGTAGTCTCCCACCTCCCTCCTGCCGGGCGGAACAACCCCCACCCGACTTTCCCGTGCTCACCTAGTAGTCCGTCAGTCCTCCTTCAGAGGACCTCCGCTCCGACGTCCTGTCGGAGCTCGTAGAACTCGAGTCGGACTACAATATGAAATTAGGGGCACATACTTGGGTAAGGGGCGCAGCGTACGAGCTGAAGCCAAGCCCCTCAGACTCCGCTTTACCCCTGAGCACGGTCTTAACAGACATCAAGATCAATATTTGCAAATGTGCTATTGGGAGCTTTGTCGAATGGGATAAATTGGATCATGCAGTGGGCAGTGCACAACAGGCACTGGGTAGGTGGTACCAGTGATACTTCAATTTGATGACACTAATGATCTTTGGTAGGCACCAAATCTCATCAACAGACTCGCAAAGCAATCTCGAAGTGTCAATCAGCCTTGATGACCACGCTCCATAAGTTCAATGCATATTGTGAGCACCTTGAGGAGCTCTATGACCCAACCTATGGCATCCCCTTCTAATGCCACTTCAAACAAATCTCAATGATCTATGCAATGATCAATCTTTGATGGAGGATGTATGGATCACCCCTTCAATGGGTGATGTTCCTCGTTGGCTAGAGGACCAAGATATTCACGACGGAATTCGTGCAATGTTGAAGAGAGATAGATGTATTGAAGAGCAGTGGTGTCTTGGGCTGGAGGCAGACAATCTCTGCAGATGGGTCAGTGACAAGCTTTTGGCAATAGAACTTGCCCTTTTGACACCTGGTAGTAAGCATCATATTTCCCCTTGTCCTTGCCCAAGCTCAGGGCATTGCAGACGAAATCTTCCTTATCCCGCTTCACCAGTGGCAGGAGCATCTTCAGCATCTTCAAACCCATTGAATGAGCTCACTTGCATCTGCAGTGCAATTTGCATCTCGCACAGTGGATGCTGTATCCCTTGTTCAAAAGCTATCAGGTGTCTCTAGAGGGTGTCCACTTCAATGGATCAATACATTTGCTGTCTCATATGTTATACCTACTGAGGATGAAGAGCCTAAACCAGAAGTGTTTGTTGAAACTGATCACACTGCTTTACTACTTGAAGACACCATCCTTGTGGACATCCTGACTGCTAGAGTCACTGGAGGTGAGAATGATGATATTGACACTATCACAAATGATCCTAAAGCTGACCTTTGCTGGCAACCCCCCTGAATTAGCATTACTTGTTCTGATGTTCGTCCTGTAATCCATGCTCATGAGTTTTCTAGGGCATGTCATTCGACCAAAGGCCTCTACCGGATGCAGGGATCATTATTCCAGGCACCATCAAGACACAAGTATCTGCTCCTCACCACAGATGTCCTCATCAAGTATTTGAGCCAAAGGATATCACACTTCTTGCTTCTTGAACTGTATTACTCAATAACAGTTGCATCAATGGATGTGCCGTCCTTCTTTACTGAGAAGCAGTGCAATTGTTTTGCATGGTTGAACAGTATGCTATCCTCTTGACCCATGACCTCCCGCACATCCGATATAATGTGCCTGATGATGTTCTGTGGCAGAACATGTCATGGACATGTTACTGGACCAAAGAAGTGTGGATCCTTCCCATCCATAGACCTTCAAATGTCGGCCACTGGGTTCTATGTGTTGTGCACCTCTGAAGCAAGGAACTCCATCTATTTGACAGTTTTGCTGAGCGGAAGCCTTGGAAACTGGATATTAAGGTATGTGAGCTTCATCTGATCCATTTCAGCATGGACTCAATTCATCCAGGACATCATGAAACTGATTGCTCGTCTTTTGAGCATCACTCAACAACGCAATCACACCATTCATGTCAACATCAACTTTGATGGATGGGTTGCACGTCCTCTGATGGTAGGTATTGTTGCAACCTTGATAGTGTGAAAAGTGATCTCATCTTATACATTTTTAGACTGAAGCAGTCCAAACACACAGTTTTGACTGCGGTGTCTGGGTGCTTGCTGTGATTGCAGCAACACTACATGGGAACCACTGCACGAGTCTTGGAGAGGAAGACATGCACATTTTTCGTCATTATCTAAGAACACTCATACTTCAGATTCCAGTATTCTAGCTAGCTAATCTTACTGTCCAATGTATATGGATTCAATCCCATTGTTAGGTACCGTGCTGACTCAGGAAGCAGAGGGGTCGGGGCTTGGTTTCAGCTCTTGCACTGCGCCCTTAGCCCAGTATGTGCCCTGAATTTGGAGCGGGTCCGACATTGTCCAACGATAGGATGAGTGGACCGCTTTGGTCCACTTTGAGGGTCAGGGAGTAAGAGCTACTAGCGGCAGGCCGACTAGGAGCAGAGCGGAGAAGGCGGGGAGTGATGTGGAGGGTGGATAGGAGCAGGGGGAATGTTTGGTAGGGGCAGGGAAGGTGGAGGATAATGTGGAGGGATGAGGGAGAATATTTGATATGGGCGGAGTATAAGGGAAAGACTTTAGAGCATGGCTCTAAGTTGGAGCGGAGGGTTGGAGGGTCGGAGGTGACAACAAGTTGAGACTTGTGTCCAGAGGAGGCAAGGTCCTACTGAGAATTCTCACAAGATGTAACTGCGAGAAGACAAGTAATATTAAGACTGAGGAAAATATCTAAGTACATGATATGTTATATACTTCTAAGTATGAGGCAGTGACCAGGATAACTATGTTGTAAAGCTATGTACCAAGGATATAATTTGTAAGTACTTACACAGGTGAAGACACAAGTCAGAGCGGATATCAATATGTACGCGTCGGATCAGTGATCGAGCGGTAATAGGAATTACCGGTGATCTGGAAGTAAGGGTTTATGTACCGAAGGGGAAAGTATATATCTAAAAGGGGAAAGAGGTCCAGTTGAATGGGATGTTATGGAAGGGGGGGCCGGTTGAGCGGTTGAGCAGAAACGTAGGAGCAGGTGCATATGATGATCGGACAGAGCGGAGGATGGGTGGAGCAGAGGTGATTGGAAAGCGGAGCGGATATTGATATTAGAGCGGTCAGATCAGGTATATGACACCTGTCATCATCATGTGCACTTCATTATGATAACAATAGATCCTGCAAGCATGCCACTGTAAGAGGCACTGTGCCATCATGCAGTGTCTGTTGCAATCTTCCATACCATCAACATAGTCATGCAACATCACCCACTGCCTCAAGAGCATGTCAATGCTTTCCCTCAACTCAGCACAAAGACCCATCACTCCCCCTGAACTGGGCTTCTTAGCATGCTCATACACTTCCTCCTTCTCCATTCAAGATCGTCAACTATGGATCACCTGGACGAGGCTTTGTGTCCAGAGGTTGAGGAGCTTGATATGGTGGATCAACATCCCATTGTGCAAGATCCGATTCATTGAGGTTATTAGCGCTCTGTGATGCTTGTTGGAACAGGTAGGTGTCTGGAAGATCTGTTATTGCAAGGTTGATTAAATCGGGTGGAAGGGATGGGAGCTCAACATCAGAATCAAGGGTGGGTGACTTGGAAGCATGAATGAGGGCCCAGGACTTTGTTGAACCCTTTCGACTGTGGACTCTGGCATATGTGCACAAATTCCAAAGTCGATGAGTGTTTTTACCTCTGTACATGCAGTATTAGTACTTAGAGAAGAAATACTCAAAGCAAGAGTTCTCCACACCTTTCAGATCAATCATACTTTGCTGTGTGTTGATGTGTTACAGCAGTTTTATTAGCAAGAGTGAGGTGTTTTGCTTTCCGCCCCATAAGTAAAGAGGTAAAGAAGTCTAATGTCATGGAGCATCTTAATATGTGCACTAGATGATTTTTTGTGTACATTGGAGGTATTAGGACATGTTTTTTTATATGTGAACATTGTTATCCAAACACTGATTGGCTGATTAAACTTGGCTGTACAGAACATGCATCCTCAACATGTTGCCACAGTGCCTCGGGTGCAACATGTACCTCACATAGTTCTGATACCCTCTTGTTCCTCTCCTGTCCCTCTGTAGGTTGTCATCTTGACTGTAACAGCATTTTGACTTTTGACTTCTCTTCTTTTACAGGATTTTTTGTTGCAAATTCACTATGTGAATCCCATTTGTTAAGTGCTCTGGCACATCCACCATGGACTATGAAAGCCCAGGGCACCTCGGGTATTTTCTGCCTCCTACCCTCCTTGTCGTCTGTCAGTCTCTACTGTACAAAGAGCATATTTCTAGCAATTTTTCTGCTCTGAACAAGGTGAGTGGTCAACCGTCGTACACTCAGCCTCAGTTGAGTCAATGCTGAAGCAAGTCTGTCGTGTCCAGTGCCCAACCACTTTTGTAACAACCTCACAAGTTATTTTCCCAGTAGGTTTGTGCACTAGGTCAGTAGCCACCAGCTGATAACACCTCTATAAGTATACTCCATTGCTATACGTGAAATGTCAAGCTCTAGTCCAGAGACCCCTGACTCTAACTCCGAGCAATTTGGTGGCAGTCACTATGTATCTCCTCCTGCCACCCTGACTCCAAGTTGGTTACGCTTGTACATCAAACCGACAGTGCACAATTCTGGCCTTGTTAAAAATGTGCAGGATAGGAGAGCTAAACTACTCACTGATCATCTGGATGAGAGTGGTGAAGTCATGCCCCCAGATCAAAATCTGATGTCGAACACTGTCCAGCCTGAGACAGGACAATGGCTTACTCCCATCTCACAGCAGGAGCTCCCAAACAACTCTGCACAAGGTAGGCAAGGGTTATATGGTGATCTTCCATGCCAAGTTGTGTCGCGTGAACTGTTGTGTGAACCCCAGTGTCATCCTTCAGGCCCATGCGAACCTCCCCTTCCTCTCATTCCTCAGCAACCTCAGCCTAACATGATCCTTCCACAACCTCCCATTGCTACCATGCAGGGAACATGCACACCTGTAGGGTTGAATGGCAGGCAGGATGTCCATGCTGCTCCACTTAACATTGGATTGAGTGTTGATGCTCCTGGCATGCTAGGTCTTTCCTGGGCCACTCCTATGGATGTCTTTGGTCAAGGCACTGCCGCTACATTCAATGATGTGCATTGTCCATTCACAGATACCACATTCAACTTCTCCTTGCTTGATATTCCATGGGATCCTGTGGGCGGGGACTTCAGTTTGGGCAACATATATGATGGCCACACAAATTTGCCAGAGAAATGAATTATCCCACCCATGCCTGCTAATATTCCACACCAGCCTTCCTTCAGTGCTCAACCTGTTGAAGGTGCTTTCCTAAGCAATGGCGATGAAGGAGAATCTCCAGCTAGTGCACTGGTTGACTGTAGGACAGATGAGGTGAATGTGTCATTGGAGGAGAATTTCAAAGCTATCAATGACATATTCAATGATCTTGTCACAAAAACTGGCTTACCTTTGCAGCAAGTCTCTCATGTGTATCACAAGGCCTGTGGACGCATTCATTCCACATTCAATCATTGGAACACATACAGCCACTACTTGAAAGTCAACTAAGAGCAGGAACTGCAAAGGCTTGGCGATATTGAGATAGCTGATGGTGCTCAAATTACACCAACAATCCGAGCTGAATGCTACAAGGTGTTCCAAGTGCCTTTTCTGGATTCATGGCAAGAAATTCTCGAGATGTTTGAGCAAATGGAGATGAGATCAATTGGACCTCAGACAGTCTCACAGCAAACACAGAAATTTGGTAAGGTTTGGAGAAAAGTCGTGAGCACGGTATGTCCAACACTCCATACATCAAAACAAGGTGTGCCAAGCACAAAAGAAGATGAGCCACCACATAAGCATAAATCATCTAAAGTGTTGCCAGAGGCTCCAGCAGCCATGAAAGATGACCTGGATGCTCCAGAGGTTCTCGACATCAATGATTGGCAACTGCAGGTCGATCTTCTTCAATCTATCAAGGGCGGAATCATTGCATTACTCAGTGAGTATTTATTCCTCTTGGTATTGTTGCTTACCATTTACTTACCATTCTCAAGATGAGCTGGGTGGGAAACTCACTGTCTGCTCAGGCAATTTCCCTTGGAAGAAGCTCTGCAGTGACCTTGACCATCAAGGGTTTGTCATTGAAGGCTATCTGGAGGACATTCTTATGCCAGGAGAAACATGCAGCACCAATGCGAGGAGTAAGGGGATCGACAACCTCAACAAACAGGAACAGATCATCTTTGCAGAAGCCTTGAAATCAGGAACACTGGTGATAAAATGTGGGCCCATAGGTACATATTTATGGACATATTCTTAACCTACACTAATTTATCACCAGGTCCAGAGGACAAAGACAAGAGTTGACCTGTCATCATTGGGGAGGCTCCACAACCACACTCTGTTCACTTACATGGCTGGCAGTTGCTTGCCAACAGCATTATGGATCATGAAGGACCATCTCATCTCCAGCCTAGTGCAGCAACTACCAAAGTCAGGAAGCCAACTAGCAGGCAGGCCACACCCATTGCTCTCCCCATAGTTGTCAAGGACGATTCTCCCACTTCTGCCATTGTTCATAGGAAAAATCTTGTTGTCTCAGTTGAGATACCTCCTGCACACAAGGCAACAGCAGTACCTTCCAATGACATCATACCTCCTGCACACCCCTTTAAGGTAGTCAGGCCTCCAAAATCAAAGGCAATAGCAGTACCTTCCAATGTCATCACTCTCAATGAGTCAGTGAAGGCACTGTCTGGATCTGAGGGAGATGACTCAGAGTATGATGACCTTCCACAAGATGGGTCTGACTATGAGGATGGAGTCCAGTTCCGCAAATGCAAGGCAAAGACGATTGGTAGCACTGACAGATTTAAGTGTCATGTTCCATCTAGTGACATTGAGGTGATTGAGCTGGAGCCGCGGCCCAAGGGAAAGGGCAAAGAGGCTGCATCACAGAAGGAGAGGGCAAGGGTATGCTATCATGAGCTCACCTCCGATTCTGAAGAGGAACAGAAGCCAGACAAAGTCAAGGAAGGTATGTAGGCTTCATCTCTGTCGCCTGTGTATGATGCTCACCATTGATAACACTTTTTCATAGTTGGCGTGCCTTTGTGACTCTGAGATGGTCCAGTACGTTCAAAGCCAAAGCCAAAGAAGGTTGTGCCCAGTTCAACTGTAGCAGCTCAACAAGTTGCTTTCTATGAAGGTAGGATGCTTCATATGCACAAATCATCAAGAGCAGCAGGACCCTTGGGAGCATCAAAATCATTGGGAGCAAAAGCAGCGGTGGTTGAGGGTGGGATGCTTCATGTGCACAAATCATCGAGAGCAGCAGAACCATTTAGAGCAGCAAGAGGAGGAGTATCACCAGAGCCACTTGACAACTTACCGTCTGCCCCCTCATCTGCCCTCTCATCTCCATTGCCTCAATTTTAGCAACCTCCACACTCACTGGTTCCACCATCATTCACCCAGCACAGCCCTGCCCTCCAAACCACACCATATAAATACAATCATGGCAGAGCCCTTCCAGTGCCTTCATATGGTCAACATCTTGACATGCTGCAAGGTCAGAACTATCCTGATCTGTGCCATGATTAGATCAACTACCAATGGACTGTTCAACCCCTCCAGGTCACAAATCAAGGTTCAGGTGTCGACACTGCCAGTTACAGCCACGCCCAGTATGCTCCTCGCAACAACGTGTATCCACACCTTGTACCCCATCATGCTAACACTGCACATGCGGAAGCTTATAATACTAATGCACCTGCTCATCAGCAATGTCTAGAAGATTACAATACTTGTCCACCAGTACCTTTTCAACAACAACAATATCCAGAAATTTACGGATGTGTGCCTGCTAGTGCACCTTCTGAGCAGCAGCAGCACATGGAGAATTATGGTGCTCATGCACCTGCTCCTCAACAGTACAAGGAGACTTACAACATGTGTGTGCCTGTTCATCAACCACCTGCTTCTCAACAGCATACAGAGACTTACAACACTTGTGTGCCTGCTCCCCAACAAGGACTTGTGGGTCACCATGATGGCATGGTAGCATATAACATGGATGAACACTGGCAGCCTCACTATGGGTCCATGGTGCATCAGGCCGAGAACATACAAACACCCCCGCTCTAGTCAGAGGATGAGCCCTTTGCCTGCTCTAGTTGCATGCTCATCATTGCCACCCCAGCCTGAAGTTAACTAGATGTTACCTCTTGCTTCTTGGAATGCTGTCTTGTATCGAGCGCTCTTGTGAGCACATGCGTTCTTGACATTTACGTACATTTATATCTCACCCATCCTTGCTTTGATCAGTAGTATGTGACTTCCTTTGATGATAGTTTACATATGTACTTTCACATTCCAATAAATCAGGTGTCTCCAGTTAAATGAAACACTTTGAATGTTCATGAAGTGAGAGAAGTCCCGCTAAATAAGATGCATTCAAGGTTCATGACATATGAACATTTAGAACAAATGTTAAATAATGAAGGTCGACTTATCCCAGTTGTTGAATGAGATGCACTTGAGGTTCGCGAAGCACCAGGTATGAGGACAATTAGAACATAAATGGAAAGGTTGAACCCGAGGCTCGCAAGGCACCGGGTAACAGATAGCAAGATGAAACTATTTAAGGCCAAGAAGACTGCTTAGAAAAACCTCCCCAAAGCTCTGAGGCTGTACATCAAGAAGAATGTGTCAGTCTAAAAAATCCCAGAAGTACATAGATCAAGAAGGCACCAATGTAAATCCTTTCTACAAAGCTCAGACACCATGGATCCAGAAGAATATGCCAGTGTAAATCCAAAGCTCCAGAGGCTGTAGATCAACAAGCTCATAGGTCCAGACCATACCTCTGCGTGAACCTCTGCACAAACCTGAGTTGTGAGCAAGGGCAGCAGTCCGACAAAGAAGGGCGCAGATCTGGTATATTTACCATACATGGCAGTGAGCAAAGGGCAAAGGGTATAGACAATACTTACTATGAGAACCTCCACACAAACCTGAGTTGTGAGCAAGGGCAGCAGACCGACAAAGAAGGGCACAGATCTAGTATATTTACCATACATGGCAGTGAGCAAAGGGCAAAGGGTATAGACAATACTTACTACAAGAACCTCTATGCAAACCTGAGTTAAATACCCTCGCAAGGGCAGGAACCTATTGTAGCACCTGGGGGAGACCCTCCCAGGGATGATGGTCTTTCAGCCTAGTTTCCCATAACATGGAAACCGGGTCTGAAAGACTGTGGGAACGTCATTGAAGTGGTGCCAAGGATGACGACATGCTTGCATGGGACAATGACCCACTCAACTGGCCGGACCATCTTGATGATGCCACCACTGCCATTAACCACCAAGTTCTTCCCACTCTCAAGTTTTTGCAGATGGAGCTATTTCTGGGGCAAATTGTCAATACTCCACACTTGGATCTTAGCAACAGCACATCAGCAATTCAAACATCAGACATCAACACTCACATAGTGTATGTTGCACAGCAACAGTTAGAAAACACAAAGCAGCATTCAATAAAAGGGTTTTTGAGCGTAGTCCAAGTGAGGTCATCTTCAATGGCGCATCGGTAAACTGATGAGCCATGAGTTGATTTTGCTTGATTTTTGGTATTTTTGTTGGTATTGGAATGCTTGACATTGAGGCGAAAACCTCGTTCCAACTTGGATTGATTTTGCTTGATGGGTATAGCAGGTTCATAGTACCTCAGGAACGGTAGACTACAGTAAAGTAGGGAAAAACACCAAAAATGCAATCTGAGAAGTTTTAGCCTGTATAGAAGGATCCTGAAGGTATCCTGATGTACCAACCTGGTGGATATACTCTAAATATATATAGGAATGGTCCCCATATCCTCCTGCAGCTGTGTTTCTGCAGGAATTTTTTTCCCAGAGGATGAACCACCAGGAGAGGGTGGGTACACAGCATCACAAGGTCTTGTCCTGTGGCCCTGAGCTCCTGAGACATTGTTCCTATGTTAGAATGGATGTTGGGGACAGTATTCCAAAGTCAATATACCTAGAGATACAAAAATGCGAACCTATTTTATGCTTTCATGTATGTGCTATATTTTTTGATGTAGGGCCATTCAGGGGGTCAAATAAGCGGTATAATATGTTCATAAGAGTGCTAGAACGCTCTCCTATCAAAGGGGCAAAATGCAAATATGCTTTTCACCCTACCCTGCACTGTGAAGAGGCACTGGAGCAATAGTTGGCACAAAAAGCGGTCTATTATGTTCCATTACACATGTATATACTAAACTACTACTTCTATGCAAGGGACAGCTAATTGTGGTGTAGTGGTGAAGCTGTAGTGAGGTGGGGCAGTGTGGATTTGAAGAATGACCAAATGGGGTGATGTTTTTGGTGTTGTGGGGTAATTCCCACAGTAGGTGCCTCAAAATGCGGTGTGGGGATAATGTGGGGGCCTGGATTCTGGAAGGCCAAAATTGAGTTCAACAATTGGCAATCCTCAGTCCTGAATAGGATAGCTGGTAATGCCCAAGAAGCTGCCTTAGATACTACTAGTGCTCCCCAGCTAGTATCAATACAGGAAGCACTTGACAATCCCCACTGAGTATCAAAAACAGTACTGTTACTATGGCCAAGGTGTATGGATACTCCTACCAGGGTGTGGTGGGAGGACAGGTATTTAGACTTATGATTTGTGAGGCTGTAATCAGGACCACAAGACGAGATGCGACATAATTTGAAATGACACAATAAATTAATTTCCGAATGTCGTTGAGCACTTTAAAGACGATGGGTATCCACGCGGGTGGTGATAACAATTGCAAATAAAGCAAGGTCATCGCCGGCGACGGCGCCTAGTGGAACGATACGTATTATAGTGAATGCACATGATAAAGTAGAAAAGGAAATGTACTGTGTGCGATGACGACGATGATGAAACTATGTGCGATGATGACGATGATGATTCAACAATGTGGAGGGATGCGCAGTATTTGATCAATTCTCTAGTACCAGGTTGATGGAAAAGCCGGCACTGCAAGAGTAACCTGTCCCACGTCTGGCATAATATGTAGTTGCCTGGCGCATCTGGAGCGTATAAAGGGGAGGGGTGAGTGCTAGCTTTCGACTCAACAAAGAAAAATCATCAAGTCTCAGCCCTCTCTTGCATCCAAACATGAAATTCTCAATCACCACTATGATCATGTCCGCTGCCTTGATGGCTGGTGTAGCCATCGCATACAACCCTATCGGCCTGTCATGCGACACCCCAGGTGAGTACTCTTGTAGCATATCGTGTTCGAAACCGCGTACTTACTACGGCTGCTTGCAGGCGGTTATGGGTGCTCGCAGGATGCGAGTTTGAACGGCGGAAATGCGTTTATTTACGAATGTGGACCGTCAGACACGTTCGTTTACGTCGCGGGCTGCCGCTGCCCTACTTGCTGCCAGGCCACGACCACCGGTGCGTACTGCACGTGAGAGCAAAGTGTGAGAACGGTTTTCCTTCGATGCTTCCCGAGTGCGAGTGCTGATGAGTTTGCTTTCGCACAAAAAGCTCATGCGTGGAATAATGCAGCGTGATCCGTGAGAGAGAATTCGAAGGAGTGCTGTAGTCTGCTCAATAATAAACCGTGTCTTGAACCAATCCCACTTGCTCGTGACATTGTAATGCCGCACTTCAATTTTCAAAGCGTGAGTTGTGCTGGAATTGTCCCTGGATCACGAATTGTCATTCCTAAATGGACCATCAACTCGAAGGACTGTTGACGAGTAGAATGAACGAGGTGTTCGAGTACCACAACACTCGGTCTCACCGCTGCACACTGAAAATAGGAATGGGCTGGGTGAGATGATATCGTTGATATATGGCGGGAACATACAGTTCCCCTACTTTTGACACTCCGACCGAACTAGCACGTTGAAACCGGCAGCCGTAGCGTCGTCTGTCCCAAACATGTAGGTCCCTCAGGTGCATTCGTGCTCATCAACGCGTTCTAGCATCATATGTCTTTGTCCCTTTGTCCAAGTTGCTATTGTGGAGGATCGATCGATGAGAGACGAGCGGCCGCAGTGTGGTTTGCGTGGATCCATCTTGCCGTCGGTATCTCTATCATTGGTCGATTGATCAAGTCAACATGCCCTCGCCGTAAATGAATGCGCAGACACGACCCTCTCGTCTCCCAATGGTTCCACTGTCTATGCATGGGTCAGCACTAATACGCCTCTATGGCGCTGGATCTGTTCAACTATTCTTCACATGCAAAACTCACACACGCACAGACGCCACACACACACAAACGAGACGCACACATAATCACTCCTTCGCATACACATTCTTGTATTGTAGGAAAATTAGTACTGCACTATGATCATTCATAAAATTCATTGATGCCCCAAGGTATCCAACTCTGCACGTGTCAACATTGGGCCAGGCTCCGTGATCAGAGCTGCCAACAACTGCTGAGCCGATCTTGAAACGCCTCGCAAGGCTGCCGTGAGGTTGAAAGAGTCTAGTGAGGCCTTACGAGACGAGTATGCGCACCTTGCATAATGACGAACAAATACATTCAAGCCTCGGAAGGCATCATGTGGCCGTGGGAGACTCTCCAGACCTTGCCGGACCTTATTAGATTTGGGCACTTTTGCTGATGGCCCTTCTCATCGACACTTACATCAAGGATCCACCCAGCGCGAACATCTTTTTGACACCAATACTGGTAGCTTTCCGTTTTCTTTTCTCGCTCTCGTCCGCCAGCCGAGGTTTTGCTGCCAATGCTGGCGGCTTCGGTGCGTTTTTTTTGCCCTTGGACTCTACTTGATTGGCGCTTATAGAACCCTTCATTAGCAGCCTTGTCTGCAATATAAATTGATCATCACTCCGAGACCTACTCACTTCTCATCACTTCGTCTCGTCCACCGGCCAGGCCTTAAAAAGATTCGAGGCTTTGCTGCCAATGCTGGCGACTCTCAGTGCGTTTCACTCGGAGACCTACTCACTTCTCATCGCTCCATCTCGTCTACCAGCCGGGCCTTAAAAAGATTCGTCTATAGAACCCTTCATCAGCAGCCTTGTCTGCAATATAAATTGATTATCGAATCATGTCAGATCTAATAGTGCAGTACTAATTTTTCTACGGTACGAGAGTGTATGCGACGGAGTGATTATGTGTGTGCGTCTCGTTTGTGTGTGTGTGGCATCTGTGCGTGTGTGAGTTTTGCATGTGAAGAATAGTTGAACAGATCCAGCGCCATACGCCTCGCTCAAGTTTTTTAACCCTGTCTACACACTGGATGCAGTGTTATACATTTCCTTCAACCTAGATAATACGAGAAGAATTCTAGTTTGACCACTGGCATTTGTCTGCTGGTCGTGTCTACACGCGATGTTTTACTGCGCTCGATGACCTGTGGTACGAGTGTTATCGTCAAAGTTCACCCCACACTTGTGCTCCAGGCAAAGTCGAGTCAGTCTTCAGAGTTTTACTTCGAGAGCTCGTACTACTTAGAGTCTATAATGCTAGATTGATACATTCAAAGTGGACTATAGTCCTAAAACCAGGATACATCATCTAGGCAGGTTGTCCATCATCCAGATGGATGTATCCTTCGATACATCCATGGCGGATCCAAAATTTTGATTCTCGGCACTTTCCAGGCCTTCTTGGGAGGGGTCGAGTACCAAAACTAGACACTCTCAGCTCTCCGGCCAGGTCCCCTTCTAGATCTTGATTTCAGCTAGATCTTGATTTCAGCTATTTCTGATCTGGCGGCTATGGGTGAGATAGATCTTCACTTCGAAAGAAGAAACCATCGAGCACGTCGCTGCGCACTAAGGCTCGTCGTGTAAGTCAACCTGTCGTCACGTGATGTTCGTATTCTCGCCCTTCATTTTCTAGCTTTAAGTGACAGGTTGTCGCATTGACTTAACACTCCGCGTACTGTTTGCTTCGCCCACCGTCTATACTATGTATGTGTATGGCGGTCTACACTGAGTCTTGTACCACGTGATGTACATATTCTCGCATTTCTAAGTGTTTTCAGATTTTCACTGATCAGAAACATGTAAGCTCATTTTATTATCAAGACAACAATTATGAACGACGACAAAATAACTATATGCGAAGATAGGTATGGTAGTGACTGCAGAGCTTTGAAACTTTAAACTCTTTGTTTCCTGTTTGTCAAGTTAGATTTACTGAATTTATAAACGACGAAAATAACGCACTTCTTGTGACCTGAGACACCATCTTCGCCTGCCGGTCCACGGCGCTTGCTAGCAATCAGACGGTTATCACCAATACTGTTAGCAATAACATTGCGCGAGGATGGAACAGAGACTCGGCCGGTCCTGCGCAGAACGGAACACTCGACGGGTGCGGGAGGCTGGCTTTGTTGATCGGGTATGGTAGATGGGGATGCGACGGGTGCGAGAGGCTGACTTTGTTGATCGGGTATGGTAGATGGGGATGAAACTGGCGCAGCGGACGAAGGAACAGCAGCTGGAGGAAGCATGGGTGAGTCCTCCGGAGCTAAGATGGGTGTAGGCTGAAATAAATCCATGGATGGGGCCTGGATTCGCGTAGACTCAGAGGACAATGTGGTGGTTGGAGGAAGTGCGGGTGAGTTCTGCAGTGGTGTGGGTAAGTCCTGCAGTGGTACCACAATGGGTGCAGGCTGAGATATATTTCGGGGCAAGCCAGGAGGTGGAGTTATGGGAGGTGATGGCGACGTGTTTGGGGGCAAGCCAGGAGGTGGAGTTATGGGAGCTGACGGCGACTCCAAGGCAGATGCTGCCTGCGGGTAGGGAGGTAAGCATGGCAGGTTTGGATTTCCGCCTGACGCCTCAAATGCGTCGACTTGCGCAGAGAGTCCCTCCCAGAATGAGTCGTCTATGTCCGGCCAATTGATATCAGTCGAGTTTTCAGGCAAATTGATGTCTGGGACTTTGTCCGCCTGGGACGATGTGTTGAACATCACCTGACCAGATGTGTCATCATGGCTAATTCCTAACCCCGCACTTATCGGTGAACGATCACCGCCATCATCATGATCGAGATCGCTCGCACTCCCTAGCCTCGCCTTCAAAGTCGCTGTGGCCTCTGCTATTGATAAATTGGTAAGTCGGATGCTATAAGTGACTACAGCGAACTCACGATATACTCTGTGTAGATAGTCTTTAAAAGGGGACATAATAGCGCTCTCAAATTCTGGGTATGTTTGACTGAAGTTGTTCCCGTACTTCGTTTGACCTACATGAAAACTTCGCATCCGAGGTGAGTACTGAATGCTACGGATAAATATGGATGACTTACCTATAGACATCAATCAATCCACCAAGCTCTGGAGAAGGGCCACCTGCGAGGAGGGAGAACGAAAACCCTGTCGCATCCGCAAGTCCGGTCAAGAATTTATTGACTATAGCGGCGAGTTTTTCAATATTTCTATGAAGGCGTCAGCTTATTGACATGTCAGAATTCGTGAATCATTACCTCCCATAATCGTCTTCGCTCCACATTCCCTCCTTCTCGTTGTCTCTGTGCATCTTCGCATCCTCGATGTACTTCCGTACCTCCGCCTTAACTTCATTTGTCTCTCCTTCGTAGAGGTTCGCTACCTCCTTTTTGGCAATGGCTACACGCATCCCATTAGTAAGTGCCTTGTTCTCGGCTTGTAGCGCCTCAGCTTCTGCCTTTAGTCTGTTATCAACCATGAACTTTACACGCCTCTGGTAGTAAAGTTTGGAATACGCCTCGACTTCCTGAAGGGAACGTGTCGGCTTTTCACATTCGGTGACACTCTTCAGTACCGCATTGAACACGTTTGCGGCCTCAGCCTTTGCTTGCCGTCCCGTCTTCGTAGACCCGAGGCTATTTTTGAAACGGTTCTCTAATTTCTGCAAGCATCTATTAACATGATTGTTTCAACAGGATATTTTGCGGTGATGACGCACCTTTTTTCGCTCGGCTTCAGCCTGATCCATGATCACAAGCTCGTCCCTGGTCAGCGGCCCGATAGGTGGCACTGTAGCTGGCCTTGGCTCGGGGAATACATCAAGCCACTCCCCCAACAAGTCGGTAAAGAAATTTGCCCAGTTCTTGGCTCGGTCTGATTGCTTTGCGCGATACTTCTCATACCAAGGACCCAGCCATGCCTCCTGCTCAGGAGTGCTCCATTTCGGGGGTGTCATCTATATTAATTGTTATGCAATGAGCGCTGTCATTAAAATGTTCACGTACGTTGCCTCACACGATCATGGGATGGGTATACTTATGTAGCACGAATTGAATGATAATAGTTCGATATTTTGCTCTCAAACATCCCACGCACGGGCCCCCAAATGTACTTTTTGCGCTGGAAGGAGCTCGCAGCTGTATTTTGGCTCAATGTATGTAGTCGCGAATTATGTATGGTACTAATCAAATCCTGATGTCCTTCTGATACATTTGTTCCCCCAACCATTGTGCCGTTGTAAGCTCCACAACTCCTCCGGACATTTCAAGAAGCTGAATGTCCTCCAAGTATGCGGCTGTGGTCTTCAAGAATCGAGAGACCGTGTCAGCGGCATGCCACTCAGGTGAGATACCACATAAATTTAGGATCTTGTCTTGTGCACGAATCACACGCTTGAGTAGTTTTTCAATCTCGCCGGTTGAGTTCACGATGATAGAGATATCACCCTTTGTACTGCAATCATCTGGGATGCTCTTGACGTACTCGGCCAACTTGTCCTTGGCGAACTCGCAGGGGTCGGCACCGATCAATGTGAGCATGTCGTCCTTGGCGACTTTGATGGCGAGTAAGCATACCGGAAGATTGGATCTGTTGGACATTAATTTTTCATTTCAATACATATTTCTATTTTTAAAAGCAGAATAGAACTTACAGTGTGTCAGTTTCATCATCGTCACTGGAATTGTCAGTGTCTGATTCAGACTCGTCATCATCGTCACAGCCATGCAATGCTTTCGCCACAGCTCTCAAGATCTCTTTTGATATCGCCTCTGCTTCCTTGTCACGTTTCTTTACACCATGCGCCCTCCGCCGTTGTAAGATTTCGTCTCTATGTCTGTAGGTGTCAGGAACAGCATCGGGAACAATTAATAAAATTATGACATACTTGGCATAGTAGCGTCTGTGCTTTTCTCGTGCAGCCTCCATTCTTTCTTGCACCGTTTTGTGAATAGTTGGACGTGCCATCATTGGAGGACTAGGATTGAAATTGTAGTGATATAGGTTCAGAAAAAGTTGAAAAGAAGCAGAGCTCAAAGAAGCTCAGGTTTTCAAACGTTCAGGGAGTCCGACCATAATAAATATATTGATGTTGTCTCTGAGTGAGCCATATTGATATTAACATAGTAAAATGCATGCAGGAACGTAGTACTGGGTGGGCCGCCACCTTCTAGACTTATGAGATTTATTTTAAATAGGTAGTATATGTATGGTCTTCATAAATTGTAATGGTCGCACTACTAGTACAACTGTTAACACCCATAAGAGGTGATCAATACTAAGACTTGCGGTCCGACCAAAACTCATAACTCGCCTGTCTCAATCCGCAAGTGCCTACAACAATTCCTTTTCATACAAATCAATGCCTCGTCTTAAGCTCTCCCACCTAATATACTAGTAAGTTTTCAATCCCACTCATTAGGCCAACTCTACATAGATTACACTTGAAGTTGGCACAGTTGAAGCTTATTTACGTGATATCAACAGCACATTGCACTGTGTGACAACACTAGCTCTTACTCTCACTCACAATCATGGCTGGAGCAGGCGGCCGTCCCAGCAAGAAGCCTCGACTTGTTCGACATCCTGTCCCAGGTTCTGCTGGACAATCCTCCCAGAACGTCCACCGCCATCGAGTATTCGCAATTCAACCTACCGGACAAATCAACCTGGAGACAAGATATCTTGATGCTGTCCTACCGGTGGACAATGTCTCAGAGACTCATGATGTTAGTGCTGACTGCTGCAAGACTGATCCCTGGAATGAGACCTATATATCTCTTGACGCTGAACCTCATGAGATCTACGTTCTGACTGAAAAACAAAAGCAGATGGTTAAAGTGAGCGACATTTCCCTTTTTTTATTCAACTAAACCTGACTTCTGCATTGTCTTTTCCATGATAGGACGATCCGATGTGCGTCTGGACCTCGGAACGATTGCATTACCTAGATGAATTGATTCAATTAGAAGGGCGCGGGAAGGCTGATCATTCATGCCATGCTTGTGGGGACTTGGACACATCATATCGTTGTGAGGATTGTTTTTCAGTTGATTTATTTTGCCGTCTGTGCATGATCAAATTCCACCAGAATGTACCACTTCATCGAGTCAAGGTAGGTTCGCATTTCGGTTACTACCAACTTGGTGTACCTTTCTCTGACAACACTATCTCAGCAATGGCAGGACAGATATTTTCACCCTACAACTTTAAAACACCTTGGCCTGCACATCCAATTAGGAGATCACACTGGCCAGTCCTGCTGCAATCCCAAACCCGCACGAGAGGATGATTTTGTTGTAATCGATGTCCATGGAATACACGAGGTCGCGCTCGACTTCTGTAGCTGTGCGAATGCACCATCCCACTACAGACAACTTTTGCGTGGCCACTTCTTTCCATCAACTTCAACAGATCCGAGGACTGCAGCAACATTTGCAGTTCTCGAACATTTCCACCTCCTTTCGTTCGAGTCTAAAGTGTCGGCTTACGAGTTTTATCATTGCCTTGCATGTCAAAGTGACAACACAGGCATTAAGCCTATCAAGGTGACTGACACTCGTTTCTTACTTAGTTACTGACTAATTTATCCACACAGGACCGCTACTCTGTCTTTTTAAGGATCATGAGACAGTGGCAGAATCTCACATCGTTGAAACGATCAGGTCGCGGTCATGACCCTGCAGGAGTTGATGCAATGCAACAAGGACAACTCGCAGTCCTGTGCCCTGCCTGTCCGCAGCTTGGAAAAAATGTCCCTGAGGACTTAGCACATGTCAGCTCAAATGAACGGTATGTTTTCCTCCGTCTACTCATTCAATCATTAACTTACTGTTTTACACAGATGGCTTTACTCGCTATTCTTGGCCATTGACGCCAATTTTCACCTTAAGCATCGTCTCGTGTCAAACAATATCAAGGACCCTGGGCTCAGTCCTGGATGGGGGTATTTTGTGGAAGAAGGACAGTACAAGACATACCTTTGCGATCATGCAGATGTTAGGCAAGAGGTTTGTTATTTTAACTTCACTTATATCATGGCGTACTAATACATGCTTTAGAAGAGCATGTGCGTTAGCCACAATGCCATCAACATGGCAGATACCAAGCTTTCCAAAGGGCTTGTGGCAACCAGTGTAGGCTCAGTTGTTTGTGCGCGGCATGACATGCAGCTGGCAAGTGGTGTTGGAGATTTGCAAAGAGGCGAAAAGTGAGTAATTTTATCAATGCCATTGCTACAGGTACTCATGCCTCCATCAGATATATGAACATGGATTACATTGTATTCTCCGCCCTGTCTGCTTTTGCGTCCACTCCCATAGTCAACTTTTCCTATGATATTGCCTGCCAGTGGCACAAAAAGCTCTGACAGTGTGTTTCGACCCTTCCTTCGCAACTCCAACCCAATCGCGTGCACACGGCCTTCAACTTCTTTGTGCTGAAGTTTCATATTGCTGCTCATATTGCTGCTTGCCAAACAAATTTCTCCTTCAACTGGACACCGGGAGTCGGTCGAACAGATGGGGAAGCGCCAGAACGTGGATGGGCCGATATAAACCGCATCACTGCAAGTACGAAGGAAATGGGGCCCAGTAGTTGTCGAGAAGTTCTTGACGACCATTTCGGCAATTGGAACTGGAAGAAGGTGACTGCATTCGGTACGTCTTTGCAGCAGTCACCTCGTTGACATAAACTAACTATAGCGATGTATTTTTAAAGGTTGTGTCTTACTCCACAAGATCAAGGAAGCCATCAAAGCCAAAACAGAACATTGCCATGCCCTTACGGAGTTGGAAGAGTCAATCAAGCAATCAGACTTAGGCGTTGCCTCACTCACAAATTGGACAAATGAAGTCTTAGCATGGGAGCTAGACCACTCAAATCCGAATCCGTTTGAGAGCAGGGTTACAGGTAAAAATTTTGGCCTTCATTCAAGTTGTTTATAGTCTCATGGGAAGTTCAGCCACAATGCAGGCGGCCGTTCATCTAGAGCTACTAATGCAAGATGCGCAAGATTTAGAGGACAGATCTTCGGTTTCACTTCATTCTGATGTGACACCGAGCATTCTCATCAGCACGGGTCTGGATATTGAGCATGCACAGTAGGTGGCAAGTGAATTCAAGCAATACTACACTAATTTTGTTTTCTAGATGACGGCTTCGTGCAGATAACGAGAGCTTAGGTCAACATGCAACAAATGAACAACAAACAAAGATCCTAGCATGCAGCAATAGTCTCCAATGTTGTATTGAAGCATGGACTAAGATTCAAGTCTTATACATGCCATCTGTCTCTCAACTCCGTGCTACTAATGCTACCGGCCACAACCGTATGCCCAGTGATGATGAAGAGAGTGGATGTCCAAGGCCAAGGCCCAATTCTGTCAAACCTGAGGACTTTCAGCTGCTATTTCCTTCCGACATCTGCAGCTACGCACTGTGCGATCCAAAACTACTTCACATAGAATGGTCATTGCATTTTGCGCAGGCAAATGACGCTCTGGATGAGTGCCGATCCCATATACACCTTTGCCATCAGCTCTTGCATTTCAAAGGCCAGCACCTACGTGGACAATGCACCAATACTCGGGTGCGGAAGACCATACAAGCTGTCGATGACTGGCTAGTCCTCAGCCATGATAAATATTTGTGTGCGCATAGCGCATTGGTCTGCCTGTCAAGGCACATTGATCATGTCAGGTGGGATCGCGGCCTACAACCACTGAAGAAAACAAACCTCAGACCAATAGGTGATCTTGGGGGACAGACTCTGGGCACAGCAATCATGCCGTGGATCTGGCTTACTCATGGGATCTCTTCGCATGACAGCAAGGGGCTGCAAGACAGTAAGTGATCATGCAGCACTGTTTTCGTTTGAAGACAACAGACTTACTCTGCGGTGGATTTAGCACTCTGCGTCGAATGGTGTAAGGCAAGGGCCCGACATAACTGGTGGGAAGAAGAAATCCAGCTATTACTGGTTGAGATGCAGCGCGTGTTGGCATTTCTCGCATGGGAAGCCAGACAGTGGGACGAGCGAGCAACCCTTCACATGGTAGAGTGGTCAGAATATGCAGAAGGTCTGATTGCATATGCAAACCGCCAGGGTGCTATCCATCATGGCTTGTCTGCAAGCTTTTCGGGAATGTGGAGGGATGTGGGAGCCCTAGTAAGTGCGGGTTTGGATTATGGTGCAGAAGGCCAGCAGGATGATGGACCTTCTATTGACGAACCTTCTATTATTGAACCCCCACATGAAGATCTCGATGGGGTTGATTAGTAGCTTCTGTACCTTCATACATAGTGACGTCTTCAATGAATCAATGTTTGGATCTCAGATTCTCAGAAAATGCTCAACTTGCTCAACTTAGACATTGGCCGGGCATCCGCCGTCAAAGTAACAAATGTGCCGGCTCTCGGATGGAAGATAGATGGATAATTAGCCTACAGTGATGTATCATGTCAATGGATAGTTGAACCAAGGGATGTATTCCAGTTTTAGGGCTATAGCCCATAATGATATATCTGTCTACCAACATCAGGTGCTACTTATGCACTTAGAAGACTCGCAATTTGCAATTCTCCTTCTCTTCCCACTTTCACATGTGGCTCTCTGTGGCTCTCTGATTTTTGATCGCCCACTAGTACTCACCTCCCATCCCATCAACTCCAGTGTGCTTTGGTCTAACCTCTTCATCCACAATTAGGCCGCATTGTGCATGAAAGGTTCAGATCATAACGCGCTCCAAAGGTTTGTTTTTCCGATCCCGATTCTTTCATCTCCCCTCCAGTGAGTCATTTTCTGTTTCTTCTGTTTCTTTGCATCCCCAGGTTGCCCAGACACGGCGTAACTCATAACTATCTTCCCCCTCCCAGCATTACTAAGTAATATCTCTTTCCCTCTCTCAACACTCCCAACCGTGCCTATTTGAGAGCCATTTTAGAGAGTCCTGACGGCCGAACATCACAGGGAGCTTATGGGGGCCTCCGTGAGCATCAAAGTTCTTTCCAATAAGTGAGCAAACTAAGTCTTTTGCTGATGGTCTATTTGGCAATTCTCGTAACAGGTGGTGATCTACTGTCATACACCTGGCTGGACATTGCTCCTCCTGTTGGGTATCCCGTCTCCCCCACTTCTTCACATCACCTTCAGCAGTTAAACAAAGTTGTTGACTTCAGACAAGTCGGATACCCAAATACATTAGTGGCGTGATACTGATGATCGCCTGCATGTCAACTGAGAACAATGAGCTGCACAATATCCACAAACCACTTACATTGTTATACGCACACATTGCGGGTGCATTGCGATACATAGTATCGTAACTGCTGGCCTATTAGTGCCTTTGTTCGATGAAGATAGATGTGTAGATGCTGACTCATGAGCAAAATGTGGTTTCTAACGTTCGGCTAAACTGGACACCAGTCCCTGTAGCTATGATACATCAAGCCTGCTAACTACAAGTCACAGGTGATGCATCATCTATGCTTCTTAGCCTGATTTTTGATGCATTAGAACATGCTAAGTAGCAGACCTATAGTGTATAGCTTGGTCATGTGATGACCGCAATTTTGGCTTCCAAAAGCAGAAATTCACTCATTTTGGTCACCCCCTCATGTCAGGCATCCCCACATTGGGTGACTTCCTGTAAGAATTTACAGAAACAAGCTTGTCTGTAAATTTTTGACAAGTTGACATCAGCTAATTTACAGACAAAATCCGTAAACCGTAAGACATAGATACAGCTATTTTCCCTATAATTTGAGCCCTGCCATGGACATTAAAACTTTAATGCAGAATGCATTTGCCGATGATGACGAGATGCTGCAACTGCAAGCTGCACTTGTTGGTGTTCTCATTCTTGGTGCGGAAGAGGCACATCTGATGAAAATATGTGTTCGCAATCCATCACGCTTGTATTTGTGCCGTCCTCAGCTCCTCCCAAGCCCTCGCTTCATGACACCATGGACACATCTTTATGAAAGCTACAATGATCATGCTTACATCACTACGATGGGATTCGATGTCACCACGTTCCATCAACTCCTCGACAGTGGATTTGCAGACAAGTGGAACTCCACCTCAATCCCTCGTGCTGATGTGTCCAGCCAGGGTGAGCCTCATATTGGAGCTCGTTCCCTTGATGCTGCAGGTGCACTGGGGCTTACACCACACTTCCTCAACTCAGCTATGCAGGAAATATCACTGCAACAGATTTTCGCACTTATACCCACCACTGTCAACCGCTACCTCGATTTCACACTTGATATCCTCCTTCAAACTCTTCGTGACATACCCGAAGGTGCAATTCACTTTCCTGACCATAACAAAATCATCGAGGACAATTTGTTGATTCGCGCTTGTCATTCCAAACTCATGGGAGGCTTTGGCAGCATTGACGGACTTAGTCTGCCATGCCAAGAAGCTGATGATCCTGAAGTCGAGAATGCTACATATAATGGTTGGAAGAGTTTGCATTTTATCTCTAATGTACTGGTCTTTTCTCCATGAGGTGAATTCAAATATGATCTTAGTGTTGTTTCCTTGTACTACCACATTTTTAGGTGTCATCATATCTGCAGTACTTAATGCTCCTGGAAGTTGGCATGACTTGCACACATCTTGCCCCATCTACAAAAAACTTCAACAGAAGACTCCTGATGGCTATTATCTCATTGCTGATTCTGCATTTCCATGTGGGATGGCAGCCATCTCAGGCAAGATACAAGCACCATTAAAAAATGGTGCTGTACTTCCAGGCAATGCGCATGAGCAGGCAGAGCTCCTAACATTCAACCGGCAGCTACTATCCTACCGCCAAACAGCAGAATGGGGTATGTGAATGATGCAGGGCTCGTTCGGCCGACTTCATGTCCCACTGGACATCAATGATCGGGCACGACATCAGAGGCTTCTGGAGGTGTGCGTGAGATTGAGCAATGTCAGAGCAATTTGTGTGGGTATTAATCAGATTTGTGCTGTGTACATGCCGATCTGGAAGGCATCAGAGGATGAGCAGCTGTGGCTTGATCTAGGTAATGTTCTATTGGTGACATCCATCATTGCGATCATGTTGCTCGTTATCATCTTGTAGTGCAGACTCCATAGGTCTTTTTATTTTGCTACTATTCACGTAGTACAAACAACATTTTAAAACTGCTCTACAGGACCATGATCACGGTGATCCTTATCCTCAGCATCAATGTCAACTGCTAGTGCAAGTGATTTGAGTCCATTGCTGTGACGGGGAGTGTCAAAAACAGTGTTGTCATTGACACGTGAGGGCCCAGGCATAGAGGAGTACTCGAGTGATGGTGATTGATGAGGTGAGTAGTGTGATGGAGAGTAGTGAGGGCATCAATGGCTTCGTGAGGGAGAGGTTAAATGGTATGGCGAAGCTTGACGGGGATAAGCAGGAGGACGAGCAGGGGTATGAGCCTCATTCTGAGATGATAACATGTACTTGAGCATTTCAACTTGGCTCTCTGCACAATCTGCGCGACAACACTCTTGCATGAGGCGGTCATTGAGCGATTCAATGCGTTGCCTCACTTCGCGAAGTTCAGCTTGCAGAGTGTTGATCTGATTGAATTGGACAAGTGATGAGAGCCAAGTCTCGTCACGATCCTTGATAGCAGCAGGATTAAAGACAGATGTCAGTGACGACAATGCATCAGAAGCAGCAGTAGTACAAGGTCAGCGAGCACTGGGTGTGAGGAGAGGATTTGCACGAAATGCCTTGACAACTGTCTTCTTCAAGCCTGTGTGCTTTACCTTCGCACCTCTCACTCCCTTGTCAGACTCACTTGACACTTCTAGAACATCTTTCCCTTCAATCTCACTCCTGATATCACCTTCATCCCACTCAGAGTCATCAAGTGCAATCATCCCTGACTTCCTTGTAATGGAATCCTCAATCTGACGAGCAAGTTCCACATATTCAGGCAGCTCGCCATCTCCTGTGGGTTTCTCCATACGACAAATCTGTTAAGCGAACATCAACAGCTAGTAGATATATTACAATAAAGAACGAACCATATCATACTTCACTTGAATGGCCTTGGATGAGCGCTCCATCATATGATTCTGCCAAGCCCACTGATTATAAGTGACTGTAACAGCATCCCAAGCTTTTCCGCCAAGAGGGAGATGTCAACCAATCTCCTTAAGTATATGGTTGACTTCGTCAGCAGAGTAGCCAGTCGCCCCATCTTTCCAACCTTTTTTGGGGGCCTCGCCAACTACCAGCTTGCTGTCAGGGTCAGCCTGTGGCTTTGTGGGGCCTTTTCCCTTACCACCCACTTTTGTTCATTTCTTCAGAGGGGCTCTCGAAGGCTGCACAGTTAGTGCTGACGAGCGCTTCTGACCCTTAGCAGGTGCGAGTAACGGTTGTTCGAGCTCTTCATCGGACACAGCCTCTGCAAAAGCGATCGGAAGGATAGAGGGAGGTCGGATGTTTGTGACAGTGGGAGGCACCAGTCCAGAGGTATCAGGACTAGGAGGTAATGGTCCAGCAGGATAAAGGGCCGGGCTGTACATGTGGGGAGATGGATACTCCAAATCACAATACATGGCGTGGGGAGGATGCATCCGTGGATGGCCTGGACCCTCAAGGAAGCAGGAATTTTCACGCACACTATAAGCTTGCGCTGGGCAGAAAAGATCAAACTATAGATAGTTAGCACAAGACACCAATTTAAATATTATGGTACTCACATATTCCACCTGGGTAGGCACTACAGGGTGATCACTGGCTGCAGGGGCAAATTTTGCAGGAGTATTTGTGCGAGAAATGTTAGAATCAGTCCTGAGAGTGTCAGAAGGGTTCATTTTGAGCAGACAGAAGATGATAGATAAGGCCAAATGTGAGGAGCAGAGTCCACGATAGCAGAAAAACAAGAGTTGATCCGGATGAGATTTCCAGGAGCGACTCCAAGCGAGCCATCTAAACAGAGTAAAAAAATTGCCCAAATCAGACATTTAGTGCGCTCCAACAATTTATAGAAATATACAGAGGGGTAGCTACCCCTCTGTAGATTGGCAGATTTACAGACGAGTGCGAGAGCAACCGTTTGACAGGTGTTGACAGCTACCTTCTAAATCCAGCGTGGCTATTCAGCTAAGGCATGAGGATTAACAGAAATTTGTCTGTAAAACCTTACAGGAAGTCACCCATTATTTCCACACACCATACCTCCGCATTTTTCAGCCACATGGTGTGGGAATTACCCCACAACACCTCAAACATCACCCAATTTGGTATACCCCACAATTATAATTATTCTCACACCCTCCCCCACCTCACTGCAGCTTCACCAGCACACTACAATAGGTCCCTGTTCATATATAGGTAGTAGTTTAGTATATATATGTATAATATAATATAATAGACCGCTTTTTTTGTTTATAACATATTTTGTGATTTCCTGCATATATACCATATCTATTGATGTAGGACGACACTTCAGGGGGTCAAATAAGGATGGGAATCTCTTCATATATCTCATAAACATGTTCTGAATGCCCTGGGACCCTTCCCTATCAAAGGCAGAAAAATGCGAAAGTGTTCTGTACCCTACCCTATTTTGAAAGGGGCCTGGAGGGGGAGCTGTTACACAAATAAACAAAAAAAGCGGTCTATTATATTATATTATACATATATATACTAAACTACTACCTATATATGAACAGGGACCTATTGTAGTGCGCTGGTGAAGCTGGAGTAAGGTGGGGAGGGTGTGAGAATAATTATAATTGTGGGGTATACCAAATTGGGTGATGTTCAAGGTGTTGTGGGCTTTTGCTAAATATTAGCATTTCATCCCCACCTCTCCCCCTGAGCCCACACTCCCCCCCAGATACCCCCACTCCCACATCCCATGTAAACCGCATCCACCCCCTCCAACCTGGCCTCCTCATCTATCAGGAATTCAGTGTAAAAATGTCCAAAGCTAGCAATGACAAAACCCCAAATGATGGTCTCGCCAATTCTATCCACACCCCAGGTAACTCCACAATAGATCAAACTATGAGCGCCCCTCAGAGCCCCACCACCAACCACGCTCCCACATCTGAGGAACAAGCCATCCTAGTGCACCTAGCACTGGCAGACATGAACAGATCTGTGTTAAGCCAAAACGGCACAAACCATAGCACAACCCTCCTCCCCCAGTTCACCCCACCTCTGAATGGGGGATTCCCAAAAGTGCACATGTCACACTCCACACAAATTTTTGACCATCTCGATAACAGGGTTCTGCTCACCTGGTTCCAGGTTGAGCAGCCTAAATTCATGGACCGGGTATTTGATCACTCCAGAAGAGACATAGCTGAACGAGCCACCATCATAGTGGAACATGTCCATGCCAACATCACTACCATAGCAGAGTCCACTCACCATGATGCCCTTCCAGTTCACGTTTTTCCTCCACAACCCCAAGGTGGCAAGGGAGCAAAAAACTTCCCAATAGGATTCTTGGTCCACAGAGTATCCAACGAGACCAAGAACCTACTGCTGAACCAATGCATATGGTCCATGACAGATTTAACTTTCGAAGCCCTTCCATTTAATTGCACACACCCCCCAGAACTCCTCTTCGGCTCAACTGGCTTCACAACCTTAGACATAGTAACCATCCTACAAGCCATCTCGGAAACCTGGACCCAAGACAACAACCGTTACTGCATTGAAGAATTCTTCTCAAAATGCAGCCTTCCTGATGATGAACTGATATATAAGGCAACCCAAGACTTCATCACGTCATGCCACGTCAAGCTTCTTGACTTCAAAATAACAGGAGGCCTTTTAGTCCCCCACTTCAACATTCTCACAACCAGCCCCACCAACGATGCAAAAACCTGGACTGACCTCAGAAGTTACCTAAGCACTCTCAACTACCCTACCAGCCTTGATGGTTACAGAACTGTGACGGCACTCTTCACATGTCAAATATGTCACTCCCTCACCCACCCACAAGGACTCTGCCTGTTCCCACTTGTCCCCCACTGGAACGGCCTGAAAGTAGGCAACAGGAATAATAACAACACACCACATCAGATAGGGAGGGCTAGAGGCAGCAGACCCGGACAAAATATCTGATCTGATCGAATACACTAGTACATACCTTAGCAAAGGAAATACATTCTCAACCAAAAACCATCATTACATACACCCAAACCCCCCCCTTTAGTTTATGATCCAAATATACACCTACCTACTCAACCCAACCTTGTCCACGTATATCAACCCCAGTCCTCCCCACCAGAACAAAACACTCAGAATAACAACACAATGCAATGATTCCACCTTAGGCCTGGTTCCTAAGAGTATGCAAACTGCTGATGAAATGAGACCGGTTCCACAGAGACCTGAACCGTCAACACTAAACCCTGGCCCAAATATACTAACCGTTCTTACAATGGGACAGGAAAGCTGAGGTTGTCTCAAACAAGCATGGTGCACACCAGACCACGTAAACATATTTAGGTTCGGACAAGCCATGCTGAGAGGCTCAAGTTTTCATTAGTAGATGGTACCAGTGCCCCAGGAGCTGCAACACATCGAAAACACTAATATAGTCCACTGTTAATGGGCCAGGATATGCCTGTTCTAAACCTACATAATGATCATAATGTAGATTTAGTAATATGATCACTTCAAATACTCAACTAAACCCCCCAACTAATGGTCTCTCTGTCGGTCATGGTGCTCCCTTCCCAGACTGTGGAGGAGGACCACCTTGAACCACTGGGAGATCCTCTGATGACCAGTCCGGATATCTCGGAAGTGGAAAAACCTACCATAGGCAACCCCAACACCAACACCAACACCTCACCAGGAACCAGCAAATAGGAAACACACCCTCACACAACCCCAATAATGCCACCCAAGAACCAATACCGGGTGGACCACCTGACCACGCCCAACAACATCAGCAACCAGAACGAGAGAATGCAACCTTAAATGAAAAAAAAATGAGAGCTAACATTAAAATAGTGACACTGAACATGAAAGGATGCACCTCCATCAACCTCACACAAAGTCCAACCTCAAAATGGACGACAGTAAACCAAACAATGAGGGATCAGAAAATAGGTATACTATGTGTACAAGAAACACACCTGACAGATGAACACGAAAAACAGATAGATGCCCTATTCTTCCACTGCCTGAAAGTACTAAACACGAGTGACCCAACACACCCCAGCAGCTCAGCCAGCATCGCCTTCGTCCTGAATAAAGAGCTAACCAATGTATCAAATGCCACCATGAAGATACTAATACCAGGACGAGCGGCTATCCTGTCACTAAACTGGCACAACAACAAAACAATCAAAATTCTAAACGTATACACACTGAATAATGCAAACAAACATCATGAGTTCTGGGGAAAAATCAGAACTGAATGGTTAAGACTAAACATCAGTACCTTAGACTTCATGATGGGTGACTTCAACCTCACTGAAAACCCAATTGACTGTGCCCCCACAAGACTAGATAATGAAGCCGCCATAAATGCCCTAAGAGACTTAAGGTCAGTGATAAATGTACATGACACCTGGAAAAACAAACACCCGCACCACCGCCTATTTACTTTCAGCAGCAATCACCTGTTAGGTACCGTGCCGGCTCAGGAGGCAGAGGGGTCGGGGCTTGGCTTCAGCTCTTGCGCTGTGCCCTTAGCCAAGTATGTGCCCCAAATTTGGAGCGGGTCCGACGTTGTCTGACAATAGGACGAGTGGACCGCTTTGGTCCGCTTTGAGGGTCAGGAAGTAAGAGCTACTAGCGGTGGGCCAACTAGGAGCAGAGCGGAGAAGGTGGGGAGTGATGCGGAGGATGGATAGGAGCAGTGGGAAGGTTGGGTAGGAGCGGGGAAGGCGGAGGATGGGGAAAAGGGACAAGGGGAATATTGATAGGGGCGGAGGAATAAGGGAGCACTTAGAGCACAGCTCTAAGTCGGAGCAGAGGGTTGGAGGGTCGGAGATGACAACAAGTTGAGACTTGTGTCCAGAGGAGGCAAGGTCCTACTGAGAATTCTCACAAGATGTAACTGTGAGAAGACAAGTAATATTAAGACTGAGGAAAATATCTAAGTACAGGATATGTTATATGCTTCTATGTATGAGGCAGTGATCAGAATAACTATGTAGTAAAGCTATGTACCAAGGATATAGTTTGTAAGTACTTTACACAGGTGAAGACATAAGTTGGAGTGGATATCAATATGTACACATCGGATCAGCAATCGAGCGGTAATAGGAATTACTGGTGATCCGGAAGCAAGGGTCTATGTACCGAAGGGGAAAGTATATATCTAAAAGGAGAAAGAGGTCCAGTTGAATGGAGATGTTATGGAAGGGGACCGGTTGAGCGGAAACGTAGGAGCAGATGCAGACGATGATTGGACGAAGCGGAGGATGGCTGGAGCAGAGGTGATCGGAAAGCAGAGTGGATATTGATATTAGAGCGGTTGGATCAGGTATATGACATCACCCACACACTATCACAACTCGATAGGATCTACACCTCAGACCAACACATGGGAAGCATGCTGGACTGGACCACAAACGTCAGCCAAATCCCCTCAGATCACCATATGATATCGGTAAGATTCGCACCACCAGGCCTCCTGCACATTGGAAAAGGGAGATGGTCATGGCCCATAGGCATAATGACCGATGAGAACCTAATCCAACAAATAATCAAGATAGGAACTGAAAATCAACGAGAGATCAACGCACTAGGCCCAAGAAGCGATGAAATAAACCTGCAAACAATATGAAAATCCTTTAAGTCCAAAACAACCGATGCAGCCAAAGAAACTACAAAGAAACACCTAGCGAGAATAAATCAGCGAATCAAAGCTCTAACAAAAGACTTACGCAAAACCTCCAACTACAAAGAAATAGACACCTCAGAAGATATGAGCATAAACCGAGTGATACTTGAACAAGAGATCGACCACTTACAAAAAAAACAGAATAAGAAAGTGCAACTAAAGGCATGAGCACAATGGGCGATCCAAGGGGAAACCATAAGTAAGTACTGGTCAAAAATCAACAATGAGAAAGCACCATGGGATATAATCCACTGCTTAAAAATACCTGGATCAAATAATTACACAATGAAATCTGCAGAGATGGCAGAGATAGCGAAAACATACCACAATGACATCCAACTGTCCGACATCCCTATAGACAATGAATACAATCAACAACTAGTAAGAGAAAGGGCCCTTAATGAAATACATGAAAACCAGAAGCTCGATGTACCGACAAACTAAATGAACGAACTCTTGAAAGAGGAACACATCTTAAATGCACTTACATCATCAAAGTCTGGAAGCGCAACCGGAATTGACGGAATCCCTTATGAACTATGGAAACATCTCAATGATAAATACAAAGGGGCATGTGAGAAACAGAAACCAGGATTCAATATTATAAAAACCCTCACCACAGTTATAAACGACATACAATTACATGGAGTCCACCAAGATTCTGATTTCACTTTAAGTTGGATGTGCCCCCTCTATATAAAAAAAAAGACCGCACTATGATTGACAACTACTGCCCAATAACCCTACTCAACATTGACTATAAGATACTAACAAAAGTGCTAGCCATACAACTGACAAAACACATCAATAAATTAATACACCCTAACCAAAGCAGTTTCATCCAAAGAAAATCTATCTTTGATCCAATTCGCCTGACACAAGTAATGACAGCCTACACCGACTTGATGGAGGAAGATGGTGTAATAGTAGCTCTTGACCAAGAAAAAGCTTACAACAAAATACACCACAACTATCTCCTCAAAACACTAGAGGCCTTCCGAATTCCACCCATGTTCATCAACACAATCAAAAGCCTATACCACTCAGCATACACCAAAGTAGCCATCAACAGTTTCCTAAGCTCACCGTTTAAAGTCTCCCATGGTGTGAGACAGGGAGATCCCCTATCATGCCTACTCTTCAATCTTGCAATTGAACCACTTGCGTGTGAGCCCCTTCAGTGACAAAACCCGTGTTAGACAGGACAGCCGAGGGACATAAAATCCCGTATGAGGTGAGGCAGTAGACATGGGCCAGTGAAGTTAGCATCCTCGATGGTGACAGATGGGCTGATACCTATATTATACTCGATGGAAATGGATGGGCCCATGAGGCTAGTATTGGTAGTGTATATGAAATTGATGTGTGGGCGCATCTCTAGGTAGTCATTTAGACAGATGGGCCCATGTGTGTATGGTATCATGTAAACAAATGGGCCGAGGGCAGTGTATTATTTAAACAGGTGGGCCCATGTGTGAATGGTATCATGTAGACAGGTGGGCCGAAGGCAGAATATCATTTAGACAGATGGGCCGAGGACAGGATATTATTTAGACAGATGGGCCAAGGGAAGTGTATTATTTAGACAGGTGGGCAAAAGGCAGTATATCATTTAGATGGATGGGCCGAGGGAAGGGTATTATTTAGACTGGTGGGCCGAGGGCAGGATATCATGTAGACAGATGGGCTGAGGGCAGTGTATTATATAGACTGGTGGGCCGGTGTGTTTATGGTATCATGTAGACAGATAGGCCAAGGACAGGATATCATTTAGATGGACGGGCCGAGGGAAGTGTATTATTTAGACAGGAGGGCCCATGTGTATATCATATCATGTAGACAGGTGGGCCAAAGGCAGGATATCAGTTAGGCAGATGGGCTGAGGGCAGGGTATCATGTAGACAGATGGGCCGAGGGGAGTGTATTATTTAGACAGGTGGGCCCATGTGTATATCGTATCATGTAGACAGGTGGGCCGAAGGCAGGATATCATGTAGACAGATGGGCTGGTGTGTTTATGGTATCATGTAGACAGATAGGCCAAGGACAGGATATCATTTAGATGGAGGGGCCGAGGGAAGTGTATCATGTAGACAGGTGGGAGGCAGGCAGTGTATCATGTAGATGGATGGGCCAATGGAAGTGTATTATTTAGACAGGTGGGCCAAGGGCAGGAGATCAATGACAGCAGCAACCTAATTCATGTTTGATGAGGCATTCTGAAGAGATTCCTTGGAATGTCATAGTCAATGCTCGATGTTCGATGATTGGGCCTCAATGATCATTGGTGCCTCAGGGAGGCTTCATGATGCACCCTCGGGCCTCATGCCCACATTGATCTATAGTCTATTGTCTATCTTACATCCCTGTAGAGTGTATCATGTAGACCGGTGGGCCGAGGGCAGGAGTTTATGTAGACAGATGGGCCGAGGGCTGCATATCATTGAGACAGCTGGGCCGAGGGATGATGTCAAAGTAGCTTGTTAATTTTGACTGACTGACAGCGGTAACCTGATTCATCTTTGATGAGGCATTCTGAAGAGACTCCTTGGTCTTACCTGCTGGATATCTGAAAGTAGTCTGGTGGGAAGGGCAAACATAGCGACAAACTGAAGTGCTCACTAAAACTGATCCTCTTATGATCTCCATCTGGGTTCCATTTTCGGGATCGGCAATGAGGTTTGACGAGGTAAATTAATTTAGCCATCCTCGGCTGGCTCTCCTTGAGGAGCCCATGTGGATCTGCAGTCAGATTGGAATGACAATGATAATCATGGAAAAAGCTACATATCTGGGATGATGTATGCCTCAAGGGACTCCTTCACCAGAAGATGCTACTTGTTGCAGTAGTCATCCAGTGTTAGTGTCACCACACTTTCGAGGTTGTGAAAGAGCAGGTGTGTTGGACTATCGAACCTTAAGGTGAGCCTCGGACTTCATGACCGAGCCTCGAGCCACAAACCCACCATGGTCTATAGTGATTGTCTATCTTACATGCCTGTACCACATTTGATAAGAATAAATATCTGTGTCATCTAATGTCGAGTTTCCTTCCTCTCATCAATGAGTGTCTATCTTACATCCATGTACCACATTTGATAGGAATAAATATCTGTGTCATCTAATATTGAGTCTCCTTCCTCTCATCAACCCACAGTGGCAAATGGTTGTCCCTCTGGGGCCACAAACCTCATGGTATCCCTGCATATTCATGAACTGCATCCCACATGTACCATGCCCAGCAAATTCGATCCCCATCAACCCGAGGGACACCGTGGCATATGATCTTGCCAGAAATGCCCACCATGACCCCTGGATAATACATCAACTCTATACCCAGACCAGGCAATACCATGCCACCATTCTCATAGTTGCCAACGCTCTCGAGGATGTCAAACCACTGAGGGCAGGACTTGACGTCACGATGGAATGGACTTTCCCGATTGCTGATCACTGTCAGCACCGTGAAAACAGACGACCACTGTTCCAGAGCATCAGGCATAAATGGGAGGTTGAGGCGACATGCCGCCTCATCCAGTTTCCCGAAGGTTCTCAGGCCTTCGAAATATTGCTCGGGATGCATAACTCTGAGGGCAGCAGATGCTATTGCTCCCAGTCAGGCGATGGCATTGAGAATGTCCATCCCTGAAGGACCCTTCAGCAATGCCGAGACTTCCTGGTCATAGCCCAGCTGATAGCCAGTGAGTTCCAATCATAGCATCAGACCCTGGCTCCACTCACATTATGGGCCTGTTGAAACCAAGCCGGCGAGAAATTGATGCAGCCTGGGGGCGATTGATCGGACCCATGTGAGAAAAGCTCCTCATTGGTTCTCCAGCTGCTGTGGCCTTCAGCATGTAGACTGTGTTGCAGCTGAGACTCCATCAGCTGGGTAGCCACCACCATCTGCTTCTGAAAGGAAAGGTGGGGAATAGACCACAATGAATGCCTCAATCACTCACTTGGGTTTCCTCATTGAAGGCTCCAGGGAGATACCACATGATCATGCGGCTGAGGGAATCGAGAACCGTGGCAGGCTTGTCAAGATACATTGGGCCATCGGTGTTATGACCGGGGGGAAACCTGTGTAGCAACCTCTCTTCCTTCTCCTTGTTTTGTCCAGTGTTCATGGGACCAACATGTTCGCTATACCAGACAATATCTATCTCCATGTTAACTAGGCATCGGGTGAGACAAGACATGAAATGTAATTGACTCAGAAGTTTCTCACTTGGATTATTGAATGCTTCGGTCAGGCAAACGACCAAGCGATCACATGCCATCACTAGATGAGAGTCCAAAGTGACAGGTGGGATGACCTGGGGATAGTCAGGTGTGTTTTGCACCAAATGATTGAATCTCTTCGCAACATAATCACTGGCCTCATGAGCGATTCGGAGAGCCCAGGCTTCTGGGAGGGGCACCTGAATCGCAGACAAAGTCATGTTGAGAGAAGGATGGCTGAAGACGTGGAATGTGAGTGGACATCACCATGTTCTTTGGTTGCAACGGATGAGATATTTGTCCTTGTCCGAAGCAGTTAATATAACATTATCCCGCTCACTGGCCACCCGAGATGAACCTGAGTAATGACACTGTCATTCAGATTGAATGCTCGATACATAATACAGTAACTTATACCCCTAATGTGAATGGGCGATCCAATGCAGGCACAGGTGATCACAATTGAACATCAACGTACTGGCCGGATTCCATGATCGACATAGTGGCCGGATTCCATGCTCAAACCTCGATGCTCGAGGTTCAATTCGAAAATAGCCCATCACAAGTCGACTATTTCATAATCAAACATCGACGTGATGGTTGGGCCTCATCGCTCGAGGAGGTTCGATTATAGCCTCACAATGGTCAATAGTCGATTGGCCGGCTTCCATGGTCAACCATCGATGTCAATGGCTCATCAGGGGGATTCGGTAACTCCAGAAAAAGAGCCCCATTCATCGATCATGGACCCCCAGAGATTGAACCGGAGCCTTCGATTGTCTAGAATCGATCTCTCGGCTTCTATGGTTGATTGATGGGGCTCCATGCCTGATGACAATCATGGCACATTTAAACATCAAGCATTGCAGGTTGACAGTCGATCCTTGCTACACACCTGATACCGAATTCACCATCGATGGTTGATCAGTCTTTCTTCCATTACCACTCACTGAGCTCAAAATATCAAACTGCATCCAAATATGAACATTGATTACAACATCTCAATGTATTCTACAATGGCAAGCATACAGAGGAGGAACTTATTCTAGCTACCACATCAACTTGATTGGTCATTACTCCTATGCATTGTAGCAGGATTGAGATTTTCGTCCATGATGGGACCCACTGGCAACCCCCTGACAATTGCCTGCATCAACCTCGGATCTCTGCCTTGCTCCAGTCTGTCCAGGGCTGCATTGTAGATACGGACTTCAGCCAACTTTTCCCTGATCGCCTCTTCCTGCTCCAAGACCATTGAAATGACTCGTTCACGAAGGGTGGGAAGCATGTTGAGCATAGGATGCTCAGTACCATCGAGGGTCTCGGCAGGGATCACTGAAGGCATGAAAGTGTCACCCTATGTTCATTAGTTAATAGAAGATACAAGAAACAAATTGCTCACCAATTGCCTAGAATGAAAATGCACGCTCTCCTTCATCTGGGCCCATGTCCAAGCAGGAAAGTCTGCTGTGATCATCTCAAACCATGGAAACTGATAGTTCTCCACAGTTCAAGACAGATCGCTGGGCTCGGCAACAATTTCAAACTTTCCAAGGTGAGCTGTAAAAATATTGTTTGGCACCAGCTGCCATCTGTCCTGAACCATGAGTTCAAGCACATGCACGACGGGCTTTGGTACGACCGCCATGATGCCTTGGGAAGCGGCATACTTGAGGACAGGAGTCACAAATGTCTATGCCGATATGAGAAAATGCAAATATCAAAGATCAACACTCACAGCGATCTCCCAACGAAGGTCAGCCTTATAAAAGGCAATGCGATCTGCAAACAGATGTTGATTCTTGTGCTCAAACTGGAACAGGGTGAGGAATGCCCGGATGCGCGATCCAGCCACATTTAGTACCACGGCAACATTGTGGGTGGACATGGATCTGACAGAATATGCTTCACGAGCGGTGTTTCGAATATCAACACATATACTCTCATCAGACGAGTCGGCCTGTAGTACGTCGTCCAGCACTACAGAGGTTGATGATGATGGATGGGTCATGATCGCTGTTAAGAACAGATCAGTTGTGAGAACCATCAACACCGGCAATATGCAGCATCAGTGCGGCATCTCGGCAAGCACACACCGGTCGAGCGACATCAGTGTACACATGTCACCTCGGACTATTCAGATCAGGATGGTGAAGCCACCATTATATTCTTTATAATACAAATAATGCTGGTCTACTCCGTCATTGTGCTTTGACCACCTGAAAAGCTCCCTCAGCATCCTGTGCTAGTAATAAATACATGTGAGCTTGGCAAGCAGCAAAACAGGCATGACCTCAAAGGCCCATTGCCTCGGAAACTGTCTTCTGGTCCACCCATGTCCAGGACTTGTGCAGGAAGAATGTGCATGTCCAGTCCATTTCATGCTCGATCACAGTGAACTCCTCGGCCCATCGATCTCTGAGAGCTTTCGCACGAAGCCAGTGAACACTGAGGACTATATTCAATAATAGATTGAGATCGATCTTGCTGATTGATGCAATGTGGCACTCACATTAATTCATCCAGTCACCTTCGGGTCCATTTGAATTGAACTCGACAGACCAGAACCAAGTGAGGGACTTGTTTCGTTGTCCTCGAGCATTGGGATCAGCAATCGCTGTGCTGACTTTGAGTTGCTCGTGAAGCAGGGGTTCATACTTCTCCATCAGATGATCCTTGACACCTAGTTTAATCATTTGCTTTCGGCTCTTCTGGTATATGCTGGCATTTAGAGACACCTTCTGCTCCACCAACTTCACCTGCGACCATGCCCGAGTCAATTGAGATTGCGACCCAGCTTTCCAGACAGCTGTTTGAAAGAGGACGGCTTTGTCTGAAAGGTGGAGCCTGAGATTATGCAGGGCATCATTTGCCTGGCCCTCTCAAAGTGAGATCTCTTGTGGAATCAGATCCAGAGCAACCAGCTGTGAACACCGATCGATTCCAATGTTTGATGGCAAAGGTATCACTGTCAGTTCTGGAGGAAATGCAGGAGCTGTGGGATCAGCCACAGCATCATCTTCATGCTCATCCTCATCGGGATCTTGCATGATTTCAACATCGAGGGCTTCGTCTTCAAAGTCATCCATTTCATCATCAACCTCGTGGTCAAGGAAGTTGTCCCCGAGGTATGTCATGGCCCCGGCATTAAATGCATCGATCTGACCTTGCAGCCGGTCTTGCTTTCTCATGATCTCTAATTTCTGGGTCTCGCTGGGTCTCGTCCTGAGCCTTCGGACTGCCATGAGGAGAGTGATCTGTGCTTCCTCTATGGCCAATCCGGTCGATATCCAAGTGGTTACCCCTCGACGAGAAGCAGGCACCTGAGGCCCACCGTTCCGCTCCATGAGCTGATGTTCCTTTTGTTTCTTGCTCGGTGCTGACTATGGTGTGAATCATATGATTTACAACATTGCTATAGAGTGCAAACCTTTGTCCATCTTGATCTCATAAATGTCCATAGCCAATGGATCTTGAAGTCTCCTGCTCTGCGATTCTACCTCGGCATCGAGCCACGATGCCACCGCAACTGCTGGAGCGTTTGATGTGAGGGTGTCGAACACTTTCCTACTTTCCTCCACTCCTGCCCTGGCTTCTTTATATTTCTGGGTCAAGGACTTTCTCATCCGGATCATCTTCATGAAGTTGCAATCATTCATCTGATAGTCCAGGCACTCCTTTTGGTGAGGAGATGACATCCCTCGGGAAGATGGTGAAATGAGGTTGAGAGGAGCCCAGAGAGTCTCCATGATCTCTCCATCGATCCTCCCAGTGCCCTCGATGAAGTTGGAAGCATACCTCACATAACAGCTGTCTTGATGACCATGAACGTGCCAGAGCCCGATGCCAGGAACTATCTTCACAGCAGGGTCCACCGTCAGATAAGGGCTGTTCCACACACGCTGGTGAAAGTGCTTGTGATATTGACAGTTTATGTCATAGAAGGTGATCGCTCGGGTCAGGCCTTGCATGTTGTGCTGCAATGCTTCACACAGGGCATAGTCCATGTTCATTTGTCTGAATAGACATTAACCATGGTGGACGAAGTAATCGATGCACTCCGTGTACTCACCGCTCTCCCTTCTGAAAATCTACCATTGAGTGAGGGACGAAGCATCCATGTCTGGCACATGCGCATCCACCGATCCCAGTAGTCTCGAGCTTATGCCAAGAGGCATTGGCCTGATTGACAGCTCGGTGATTGTTACATGACGATCTCTCTATGGTATCTTTAGCTCCTTCCAGGTGACCTTTGTACCTTGCATTCCCAACCATGAATCCAAGCCCATCAGTGAGCCACACCTCATCTTCCAGATTCTTCGGGTGCAAATGTTCTGCTTTGAAATTTCCATCCATGACATACGATCGAGTGTATTTCAACCTTTTAGCAGAACTAGATGATGTTCTTCACATAGCTTCGATCCAACTCACTGATCAAGGTTTTCTTTGGGACCACATGGAATGTTGATTCCTGGCTGCGGGCATGCTGGACAAAACAATGCCTGCTCTCCAGGCTTTGGTGGCTCTGGGTCGTGACTGAAGCCATTCCACTTGTACGCCTTCAGCTGCCTCCACTGGCGAGCCACTCTCATGAGCTCTCTGTACCGATCCTATTGCATTCATGCCGTCAATACAGATCACACAGGAAAGGGATCATGGCGAGTTACCGGCACAAGGTGCGGAAATGCACTTGAAGTGCTGCATTGAAGCTTGCTGTAGTAGTTCATCACTGATGTGCCACATTCCAAATTGTCCAACAGAAAGTCATCTAGCACAGCAAAGGTGAAGACAGTCTTTGGGTTGATGAAGGATGCTGGAAAGAGTCCTGCCTGAAAGAGCTGTATGTCAGGCTTCTGGGCTGCAGGACACTCGCAACATCGAATCTGCAGTCAATGGACCCCGGACTTGTCCACAATGAGCATCTCTGCACCTCTGAGCTTGTACCGAGGAGCAGACATCGACGGAGTGTCCTCCAGATCGATCTCATCTTCTGATTCCTCCTGATCGAAAATATCCCAGCGATCATCAGCAGCTGCACATCCTGTTGCATCATGACCCAGATGTATGATCAGCCCAGCATCGGCCAGACAGCTCTGTTGGAAAAATGTGCCTGTCCATTGCCTAATGGAGTGGAAGGGGGTGAGTTGATGTTTCACTCTGCAGCATGCAGTACAAAATAGGGGTTGCCCTAGACAATCATGGCACTTGTACACCCCATCGAGCCTGCAGATCGAGCAATTCCTGTGCACCGGAGGAGCTTCTCTATTGAGCAGGTGATGCAAATAAGAATCTCGTTTTAGGAGCCATTGCCTGAGGTAGTCATTCTGACTCTATTGGGACATTGCTGTAATGAGCCATCTGCAAGAAAATACCATATGAATGCACTTGCCAGGGAGCTTGGAAGTGGCAGAGGGTGGAAAGCCTGGTGGTCGAGCTCCTGGACTTCATCACCCATGTCATTCCAAATGGATGGACCTGCAACCGGTTGAACTGTTTGTGTGTCCAGGGGAGACTGCACTGCTGTTCTATGTTTTTTTGGATGAGGCACCTTCTTCCACTTTTGCCTGCCTTTCTTGCCCATGAGGGCCACCAAATGTGATCTCATGCGAGGATTGCATTTAATTATCTGCGACCCCATGGCAAGGATGAAGCGACAGGCAAGCTACAATACATATTTTGTTGCATCATCTCATTCATTCATACCTATGCCTTACAAACACCGATCCGACCTAGACTGGAACTCTGAATTAAGTGAACCAAACTTTGGGATCATTATAAATTCCTTGTAACATTGCTTGGACTGCCATACATTCAACATCCAATGCCACAACTTCCGAAAACAGCCTTTCTGAGCAATCAAGCCCTGAGAAAAGCCGAGGTTCTTGAACTCAAGGCTCAACAGGATACATGGGCTTCAGCAAACAGACATGAGAAGAAAAACATCTTCAATGCCATTTGCCGAGCGGTGCAGTTCTTTGGTCCCAAGCTCAATGACAAACTGTTGAAGAAGAGGCACAAGGTCAGTGAATGGTGTTCACACATACTGTGCTGATCACGCTGGCATCCAGATCTATCACACCTGGCTGTACAATCACACAAAGGTAAAGCAGAGGAGAGATAAGATCAAGTACGGGAAGAAGTGGACTGCTAGGATGGTGGTATCTCACAAAAAGAGAGACCAGGTGCTGCAGAGGATCAAGGATGAGACTGGGCTGAAGCCAGGCGATCCCCAGATGTTCAAATACTACCAGGGAACTGTGAAAAAGGTTGTCGACAAGATGCCTGCCGACAAGATGGAGATCGCAATGGAGACCGCTGAAAAATGGTCCAATGACTTTCCACCCCCAGAGATCCAGGCCTCAGTTGCAACCAAGAAAGGCCCAACATACATCAAACATTTTGCCAAGGAGATGTGGAGGCAATGTGGGATGAGAGTCTTCATGGTTACAGCTTAGAAGGATGAGAAGGGTGAGGTGCTGTGTGGAACACATGACTTCAATGATAAGTTTGGAGGGGACAGCTTTACCAAGACAAAGGACTGGTCAGATATCCTGCCTGTCTGGCAGGAGTATGCCGAGGAACAGTTCAGTGAGTCACACAGTCACACCTGACTTGAATAGTCCATGACTTTGGTAGGCATGGATGCTGCCGAGGGTGGAGGCATCTGAGATGTTGGCTTCAGGAAGAAGACGAAGAAACTGGCCTTTGAGCTGGAGGTTGATGGCGACAGTGTACCAGTGTTGCCTGATACAACTGGCGACAGGCTCGAGCAGAAAAAAGCCATAGTCCGGTCATTTCTCACCGAAAACTACAGTGAGCTGTCTTCAATCATGTATTGCAGCTCATATTCTGACACCGACAAAGGACGTTTCAGTGGAAATGCAAAGAGTGTGGTTCCCTGGAGAGCCATCATGGAATGCCAGGGGCAACTTCATATCCAGTCAGTACCTCCCTGACAATGTCCAGGTCAAGGACCCATTGAAACTGCAGACCACTGAGGCCGTAGCCTTGCTCGATTTCTGGTATGATCAACAGGAGAACGGAGTTCCACTGGTCTTCGAGTTTAAAAGGTGGAAGAACGGTCAGGGTGAGCTGGTCGATCTAGTGGAAGCTGCACAATCAACAGCATGTGGCCGGAGGACATTGAGGTCGACGGCTAGTGTACGGGAATCATCTAGTGAGTCACTGGCCCAGAATGTGAGAAGGCCGAGGGCGGTGGCCAGACTCACCAAGCAATCCCACAGCCAGGGTGGTAAAAGGGCTGGTGGCAAATGACGGGCAGTGGAAGGTCAGCTCATATCACCTCGTGCCACAAAGCAGTCGAGGACAACAAGGAGCAAGACTGTTGCCGAGAAAACAGAGGTATTTCGGGGTCAGGTAACTTGATCGAGGCAAGGCAAAGGCAGCACTTTAGTGTAGCGTTACAGAATTGTCTCCACATAGGATATACACTATGCAAGATGTTCCTGCCATCCGAGGTCCACTTTCTGGATCTATGATGATATTTGTGAAGTGACATGGATTGTGTTGATCTGTGGTCAGATTAGAATGATCCTCGAAGGAGCTACTTACCTGGTCTGATGTATGCTTCAATGGACTCCTTCACTGTGGAATCATCATCAAGGGAGGTACTTATCTTGGATGATATATGCTTCGAGGGATTCCTCACTGGAGAATTATCATTGAAGGAGCTACATACCTGGGGTGATGTATGCTTCGAGGGCTTCTTCGCAGGAGAATCATGATCAAAGGAGCTACTTACCTGGTATGATGTATGCTTCAACAGACTCCTTCACTGGATTATCAGCATCAATGGGAATACTTATCTCAGATGATGTATGCTTCGAGGGACTCCTTTGCTGGCGATCACATCAAAGTAGCTACTTACTTGGGATGATGTATGCTTGAGAGACTCCTTCACTGGAGAATGATAATCGAAGCAGCTACTCTCCACTGGGATGATGTATGCCTCGAGTGACTGGAGCTTCATACCTGGGATGATGTATGCTTCAAGGGACTCCTCACAGCCCAGAAGCGGATGAAGAAGGTGCAGCCCGCGAAGGGTTGGATGATGGTGGAAACACGTTCATCAATCCGGTCCCCCAGCTCCTGTGTACAATTATTTTTGCTCATGGTATCTAAAGCTACATCTTTATACAACTGCTAACTATGTGATATACCCTGTTGTGTATGCCAGTCATCCTGGACCTGTGTTATGAAGCGATCGAGCATATGGGATAGCTTGAGATTCATCACCTCTGCCTTCTCCATTTGCCTCAGATCCTTTGTTGCCCAATGGAGCTTGTCCGTATTGTCAGCGAATGCAGTGTGGAAAGGTCGCTCGAGTTCGAGGATATTCTGGCAGCAATGGTTCCGGGATTGTGTGGTCATCATCCAACAGATGATCAGTGTGCATGGGAACGTCGAACTTGAGGCCCATGAGGTTTGATGAGGATGATGATTGAATTGACTTACAGCATTGTCATCAAGGCTGTTGATGCGCAGGATTGATTTCGACATGCGAAGCAACTCCTGCTCTGACATCAGTGAAGTGGGTTTTGATGTTGATGGTGTGCAAACAACCAATATCTTCGTACAATCGAGTGATGAGGGATGAAATGGTATCTGGGCGGTGGTTGGATGGTCCCGCTCACATCAAGAGCGGCATCAACGATTCGGTCATTTCGACATCCGCCATTGACACCGATGAGCTTGAACGGGTGGGCAACACAGGAGTATTGCCCACAGTGGCTGACACAAACGAGCAAATTAGCAACCAACAGGTGATCGATGCGATGCACAACTTATTATGGATTTCCACCCAGGGTGAAGCTCTGGAGCATTCCTCCTCTGGCCCCATATCGAATGCCTGGGGAAGTGTCCTGGCTGGTCTACGAATTCCATCTGGCATTGCCCATTGAATGTACTCACCAAACATCAAAGTCCAGCCAGGGTGAGGCTCGGGTCCATCATCCTCAGGACCGAGATTGATAGGTTTGAGAAGCGTTAGGACATGGTGAGGAGAAGGAATGGATCATACCGATCGATGAAGCATTTACCAAAGATGGCACCGGGAGGTCATCCTCCGGCCCGGAGTAAATGGAGCCCATCGAGAAATCTCTGTCCTCGATTCCAGCAGATGTCGATGCACTCGATCCCACTTTGAATGGTGTTAGATGGAGACTGGGTCGAGAACAAGATCGTACTCACCATGGATGGAAGATGAATTCGATGATGGCGGAATTCCATGGATTGGTTCATCAACGCCTGTGATTATGGGGTCGTTGAATCGTACTGTGTGATGTGTTCCATGGGTGTTGGAATTGATGAGTCTTTGCAAATCATCTTGTGCATGTCTTGATGGGAATTGCCAAGAAGTTCAACATTGCACAAATAAATGTAAACACTAAGAACATTTTTCCCTCTTTCCACTGTTCCGTTCTTCGATTGCCTTGTGTTTCATACATCCACATTCAGCCATCTATCCAGATCTATCCAGTCCCAACAATGTCTTCCCAAGTCAACTCCATGACTCCTGCTTCACACCTTTGGTGGAGGCTGTCCTCAA